GGCAACAGACTCTTGAGGTAGTGATAGCAGTACAATTGAATTCAATGTGTCTTGTTTTTCCCTCACCCCCTCACAGCCTCAATCCTAGCATAGGCATCCTTCAATCTCGAGAGACTATGGTAACATGCTCTGAATCGAGAAGTGTCCTCTCCAGAGCATGAAGCCTGGGTAAAGTAATATGGAGGATAGGCTGTTACCAAACCAGCAAATCTCCCCTCTCCACACTGCTGAAATGGTCCAATGGAAAGGAAAGAGCCAATACAACTGGTTCCAGCAACGTCACAGGAGCTGGCAGAACGACATGAACTGCCTTCAGGAATCCAGCTCCGGATTTTGCCTCATGGTTAACTCCTGAAGCCTTTTCCATCAGTGGATGTAGCCACAAGGCAGCGAAGGTTTGAAATCCGAGTTTTCCTTCTCCTAGATGGGCTGCCTTCCATGGCTGACGAGCAGCACCTACCAGGCCTGCTCTTTAATAGTGCGGAAGTATGATCCGACCCTTAAAACTTTCCTGCCTCCCAGGTGTATGCAAATCTAATTGGCTTTCCTATTTACAATATTATGGCCAGAGATAGAATCAGAGAATTTCAGAATTTTGTCTCCCCCACCGCATGGCCTGGGGGTGGGGGCTAAGGTGGGACACACTCATTTAAAGTAAACTCCTCAGCAAAATGGCCATGCAAACATACCTGGCCTTCATGGGCTTTGTTTTTGTCTCCCCCACCGCATGGCCTGGGGGTGGGGGCTAGGGGGTGGGGCTTTCTACTTTAAATGAGTGTATCCCAGGACCCTGGGCCCTTTTCCCTAGGAAGCTGGGCTGAGCATGAAGGCCTCAATCCTATGCATTATTTATTTGAAAAAGAAAGAAAGTCTGTGATATTGGCTTCGTTGAGATTACAATTCCCAGCGTAGCCATCGCTAGTGGCCACAATGACTAAGAGATTCTGGAAGTTGTAATTGCAAAAAAGTAGCTTTTCCAAATTTGGTGTGGTGGTGGAATCGTCTTCTGTTCAATAAGACTAGTCACCAGAATATTTTAAAAAAAGATGTTGGGGGCCTGGAAGGGATGAAGAGAAGAGCAACAAAGATGATAAGGGGACTGGAGGCTAAATCCTATAAAGAACGACTAAAAGAACTCAGTATGTTCAGCTTAACTAAGAGAAGACTGAGGGGAGACATGATAGCAGTCTTCCAATTTCTGAAGCGTTGCCACAGGGAAGAGAGCATCGATTTATTCTTCATTGCACCGGAGGGTAGAACAAGAACAAATGAGTGGAAACTCATCAGAGGAAATCCATCCAAGAAATAAGGAGTAATTTCCTGATGCTGAGAACCATTAAGCAGTGGAACAGCTTACCTCCCAATGTTGTGGGTGCCCCATCGCTGGAGGTTTTCAAGAAAAGATTGGACAGCCACCTGTCCAGGATGGTATGAGGTCCAGGAAGATATGAGGTCTCTTTCCTTGGCAGGGGGTTGAACTAGAAAACTTCACAAAGGTCCCTTCCAGCCCTATGACAATTCTATGGTTCTATGACTTACTGTCAGCAAATAATTCGATAGAATGGCAGACATGTTAAATAACATATTATATCAGACAGGCCTTTTGTTTGTGTGTTCTTATGGCCGGCAATGGCTTCCTAAGGTTCCTGCTTCCTACTGGTCCTTGTCAAGGCAGAGGGGGCAAGGACTGAACTTTGAAAGCACCTTCTTCAGAGCAACTACAGCTGTGGACTGCTCCCTTCAACAATTTTTCTTTGCCTGAATAAGGGTATACAGATTTGAACTCTATTCACCCTATGCCCTTTGGAGGATACTCCCCACTGGTCTATGTCTCTACTTGTGTTTATTTGCTACCAGATCTCAGGGGGGGAAATGTTCCCGCGAGTAGTGAAATACAAATGGTTGTAATTTGGAGGAAGGATTACATGGAACCATCAGAATTATTTCTGACAGAATTATTGGTTCACATCTAGCTGAGAGAACAAATGAAAAAGAGAAGTGGAAGTCAGGAATTATGAACTTGTCAGGAACACAACTACACCAACAAGAAAAGTGAAAACAAAGTGGGGAGAAAGGGAGAGAAAAGCAGAGCTTAAGTTGTGACCTAATTGCTCAAAACCTACACAAAAATACAGGCCATTAAGAGCATGTGCATGCGTGTGCACACAATCAGTCTTACTACTGTAATACATTATTAGAACCAAGTTCAAAGGGCCGCAGAAGAAAGTTTTGAAGGGGGAGATCTGAGAAGACAAGGCCCAGTCTGTGTAAGTTAACACCAACACAAATCGCTCGCTTTGCACAGCAAAACCTAAGGGCGCTGAGAGAAGGTACTTGGAGACCGTCTCTAGCCCTTCAGCAATTGGTACATGCAGGAAGATGATGGGCTTTATGGGGGTGGGGCATGAAGCTGCCAGTCTCCTTCTCCACAGGCTTCTAATCGATACTTTTGGTTTCCTTTTCCAGGCTTTTAATCGTGTTCTGTTTTTTTAAATTTTAATACTAAATTCACTCTCAAATGCTGGATTTCACACACAGGATGTATGAGAAGGATTACTGTATCCCATCAGTCCCCCTTTTTTGGGAGGGGGTAGTGTTTCTAGTTGCATTATTTTGCCTTGCTTTTGGCTTGTGTGATTTCCTACATCAGTCCTTTGGGGCAAGTGCTAGGCATTAAGGCAGGGTGCAGGAGTAAACCCTCCTCCTTTTGCCTCCCCCCTATTGCACTGATAAAGACTATGACTGTAATGAAATTGGAAAAGTGTATTTTTTAAAAAATATTTTTATTCTCCTGGTTTAGTACTAAACTGATACTAATTCAGACAATTGCCATCTCTTGCCATTTCAAGGCTATTTCACTTACTGAATGTTTGAAAAAGAGAAAGGTGAAAGGTATGGATAAGAGGGTGATCGTGGCAGAGAAAGTTGAGGGAGAAGCAGGGGAGCTATGTGATTTATTTATTTATTCTATTTATACCCCACCTATCTGGTCATTGCGACCACTCTAGGCGGCTTACAACACAAAATACATGAATAGATATAAGAAAAGGAATTTTTACACAATTAGACAATTCTACAAGATGGAGAGCAAACAAAATAAATCACAACAGAGAAAGGAGGGAAGAGAATCAGGAATTAACTGGGGGGAAGGCCTGCCTAAACATCCACATTTTTAATTGGTTTTTGAAAGATCAGAAGGTAGAGACGGTGCCTTAGAAAAATGTTACAAGAAAACAACGACGATTGAAACATTAAAGGCTCAAGGAATGTTTAAAAATCCATTTGCTCTTGCAATATATGGGGGGGCATGTGGACAGTTATGTGAAAGAGTGAGTCAAAATCTCTGTTGTTGTGTACATGGGAGAAAAGATTGCCGGGAGAAATGCAAAGCCAGTTCAACATTTTCTCACCTGCTATAGTTAGTGTGACCATATCTATCTATCAGTGAGACAAGTAACCAAAAACAGGCTCATTAAAGCAGAAGATAGGAAAAGAGAACAGGAAGGTATAAGGAAGTGACTATCGTTCTTGGCAGAACACATGCTCAGCATTAAAGCTGTACAACTGTGACCACACAACATTTGTCCTGAGTTGATGTGAACATCTCTCTACTGCGCCCTGGCCTTTAAATCACTGTTGCCTTTTACATAGAAATGTTTAATTTTCCTGGGAAGGTTCATTTCAAGTGTCCGCACATCACGGAAGGAAAAAAACAAGAAACCGGGCCTTCTCAGCGGTGGCTCCTCACCTCTGGAACAATCTGCCTCTGGAGATTCGCACGGCTCCCTCGCTGGGTTTTCTTGTAACATTTTTCTAAGGCACCGTCTCTACCTTCTGATCCATTTTCCAGCAGTGCTAATCACTGATCAATTATTACAATAAACTACAATTAATTAATTGAATGAGCCTTATTTGGAATGGCTCTTCTACGTTTCAGCAGAATCAGAAAGGATAAAGGTAATGGAGGAATGTGGTTAAAGGCTAAAGAAATACATGTTTTCCTCTCAACAGTTTTTCCTTTCAACATTCAGAAAACACATTTTATCCTTATGTCAGCTTTTTGGACCTCAGCTTACATTGGCCCCACTGGCTAGGAATTTAGTTCCCCTCAAGTCTCCCAAAGTAACTTTCCCAAATTCTGGCTTTTCCTGTCAGAAAACAGTCTCTTTCACACACATGGTAAGCTAAGTCAACATAAATTGATAGCTGCTTGTTTTAAAACTGTTTTAAAGTTAGCTCTTTAAATAGTTTAAAAACTGTTCTTAAAAAATTCTTCTCCTGGTTTTACTGTACAACGCTTTGGGAGCCCTGATGATGAAGAAAACAAACGGACACCTTGAATAAGAGAGAAATCAATATTGCAAACGCTCGGCCAAGCCTTGGCTCCATTCAAGCAGCCTCTATGTGGCATGAAACCCCCAGTAAATCCTGGTCCCCCAGCTTGTCCACTTTCTCCTGGACACCCTTACAACTGCCTTTTCATTTGCCCTCTCAGCATCATCCTCTCAACAGAGGGAGAGAAGGCAAAAGAAGCAGAGATGACAGCTTTCTCTCCTTGTTCTTGCCAGCATTCACACTCAGAGAGAGAGAGATGAATAGGTAAAGAGAGTAAGCAAGTACAGCAGCAGAAAAGGGGTCCAGAAAGGGTGAAGGGGCCATCCATTTCAAAGTAAATTGACAAGGGTCTATTGATGCTGACTTTTTGCACCAGCCCTATTTCATGGGGTTTTCTGTCAGATTTCTTCCAGATCTCTCTGAACAGAGATGACAATGGGACAGGAGACACTAGTGGGTACACTTTGAGCATGGCTGCCAATTTGCATGCCCTTCTGCTTCTCTGAAGCATGGCCTGTCCCCAGTTTGTGACTCTTAAGAATATATCTCTTTTTTGGTGCTTTCTGCCCACTTCTCATCATTCCTCATGACTATCAATATATATGCCATGATGACCATAACTGGGTCCCCCACTCCAGCACTAAAGAAAAAGACAAGAAACTTACCCCTCACATTGGGGAGACATTGGTGGGGTGCTGGTGGGATCTTCTTCAAGTATGGTCCTGAAGTGAATCGGGAACATCCCCCCTATGACATGCATGGCATTCTCAGCGTTTACATAGCCTCTCAAGTCAAACTTCCCAAGCAGTCTGCATTCCCCTTCTTCGTAACATTTATCTTCCCCATCTTCCCCATCTTCCCCATCATCCTCCCCTCGGGTAGGGGCATATTCTAGTCCATGGAGGAGTAACCCGATGACCACCCATAACTTGGTGCAGACCATTTTCATTTCCAAGCTTCTAGAAGGATATAATTGCTCTTTGAAAAAAAAAAAAGCAGCGGCTTTTATGTGGCTCTCCTGTGTTTATTTTTCTTCTGCCTGTGAAGAAGCAGGTGAACTCCCCATGGGCAGAGAGAAGTTAATTCTCTCTTCTGCAGAGCTGTCGAAGCATAACAGTTATGAGGTACTTAAATAGTCGGCAAAGGGTATCCTGATTTATTTGCTTGTTTAAAGCTTCCTGTCCCACCTCCTGTTCTTTCTTTAATTACCCAAATAATTTATTCAAAGTGGAATCATAAAATTATCCATACTGTTTCCTGCGTTTTGAACCAGTCATTCGTAAGTTGTTGCACCGATACTATCACAGTCACTATATTTATCACTATCATCCTAAGCACCACTGCTACTTGTTGGAAGAAACATTGGGCTATCAGGCCAAGCATCTAGGTCTGTAGTCAGTTACTTTACTTTAATTAGATTTATACCCCGCCCCTCTAGACCAGGTCTACTCGGGGTGGCTTACATACATAAAAACATAATAAACAGCATCTTAAAAGCATTGAAAACATCAAAATGTTAACAATTATATAAAAAGCCTTCCCAAGATGGAAAGATTAAAGAAAAGTGAAGATCAGTTTGACTGGAGGGAAAGCCTGCCTTGTCCCACCTCCTGTTCTTTCTTTAATTACCCAAATAATTTATTCAAAGTGGAATCATAAAATTATCCATACTGTTTCCTGCGTTTTGAACCAGTCATTCGTAAGTTGTTGCACCGATACTATCACAGTCACTATATTTATCACTATCATCCTAAGCACCGCTGCTACATGAGGTTTCAGGCCAAGCATCTACGTAGGTCTGCAGTCAGTTCCAATATAATGGCCATGGATGTGTCAGCCAATCTCTTCCATGCTGGTTGAAGCCCTCAGTGTCCTGGGCACCTGGCTGTGGATCCAGAAGCAAGGCCCAGTTTCTTGTTCTTTCTTTCCAGGCCTCTCTTGGTGTTAGGCCCCTCAGCCATCCCTGCTGGCTTTGTCGGGTGATTTGGGTAGAACTAGGTGGGAGAAGACGCCCTACCAGGTATTGAGTTCCAATATAATGGCCATGTATGTGACAGTAAATCTCTTCCATGCTGGTTGAAGCCTTCAGTCCTCTGGGCACCTGGTCAGGAGTTTGCTTTCCCCAGTGTGCCTCCCAGGAGAAAAGCCAAAGTGTGTGACACTGGGATATCTGCTTAGTCCCAGAGTCCCTGCAGAAGAAGGGAATGGTAAACCGCCTCTGGGTACTTGTAGCACCTAGAAAATCCTGGTATGGAGTTTACAGTAACTCAGAATTGACTTGACAGCTTGCGATCATTATTAAATCCCTTTCAGCTAAACATTCCTTCTGAGTAGACATCCATCGAATTGAAAGGCAGATTTTTAAAGAAGCCTATGAGTACAGTATTTTGGCAACGTACTTGTTTGGGGCATTCTTGCTGCCTCTTCCTCTAGATTTCTTTCCAAAGTTTTGTCTCTCTCTAACATCTGCAAACTTTGGGGTCCTCCAAAGCCTGCTGATGCCTCTCCTTTGTGCCGTCTTCTGCACAAGGGATTGGGGACAGCAGCACCAGCACCGAGCTCTAAATACTGGAAATAAAAAAAAAGGTAAAGGTTCCCCTTGACAATTTTTTGTCCAGTCGTGTTCGACTCTAGGGGGCGGTGCTCATCCCCGTTTCCAAGCCATAGAGCCAGCGTTTTGTCCAAAGACAATCTTCCATGGTCACATGGCCAGTGCAACTTAGACACAGAACGCTGTTACCTTCCCACTGAGGTGGTCCCTATTAATCTACTTGCATTTGCATGCTTTCGAACCGCTAGGTTGGTGGGAACTGGGACAAAGCAACAGGAGCTCACTCCGTTGCGTGGATTCAATCTTACAACTGCTTGGTCTTCTGACCCTGCAGCACAGGCTTCTGCGGTTTAGCCCGCAGCGCCACCACGTCCCCTGGAAATACTGGAAATATACACATTGAAACACTTACCTTCCATAATTTTTTAAAAAAAAGCATTTAAGATTCTAGGTTTCACTGCATGCTATAATAGTAGATGCCACAAGCTAAGTACCCAATAGGTACATTCATTTATTAGTTCTGGGCCTCGTCCAGGGGTGGGAACTTCAGGATCCTAGAACCAATCTCTTCCCCAAAATTGGAAGGGCTGGGCGGAATGGGTCTCTGAGGGACACTGAAGCAGTCTTGAGGGATGCCTGATATCTACCTTGACCTAGCTGAACAAGAATGGTGTGGTAGCATGAAAGTGTTTCTTCTCTCCGTTTACCTAGCAGTTTTCCTAAACTTCCTCACCAGCATTGTTTCAGAAATCCTTTCAACTGCAGCGAAGAACAGGTGGCCCTGTAGATATTGTTAGATTGCATTTCTCATTAACCCTAGCTGGTACATACAATGACCCTAGCTGGTACATACAATGATGACCATGGCAGTCCAGCCACATCCAGAAGGCTCCACTTCCCCATCTTTTTTTTATACCTGTGTATGTGAGAGGGCTACATATGTACATGCACATTCACCCTCCATCACTGGTGAAATTGGGATAATATGACAGACACAGGAGCCCAAAATAATAGTGGGCATACACTGGATGCAAATTGTCTCTATTTCAGGACTTGGCAAGTCTCCTTTCTAGATCCACAGCAAATTGCCAGCAATGTTGACAATACCGAACTAGACAGACCAAATGCCTGCCTCAGTGTGAGTGGGTTTATACTGCTAGGACTGGGAATTAGGCTGCATTCCATCATTTGCTTTTCTTCACCCTATACCACCGAGGTAGAAACAGGAAATTAGCCTTGAAAGAAGATAGCCATAATTTCTCAGGAACATGGCTCCCAACTCCGGTTTTTCTGCAATGGGAGGAAGTGGACTGTGTCCTTAGGCTGGATTGTTGCTATCTCATTTTGAACAATACCCTTTCCACATTCAACTGCCTGATGATCACAATTGTGGCAGCGGCTCTTCGCCGACTGGCAGGCAACAATTATATCTTCGTCATTTACAACAATGGCACCATCAGCAGTGAGGAACCCCAACAATTAAAATTCAATGGAATAAAATACATACTCCACCTATCTGGTCATATGCTGCCCTTGTGCTTCCTTCAGGGAAATGTTTGCTTCAAAAGTGTTACAAACAGGGTACAACTTGTTACTACTTGTCTTTACCTTCTAGCAACACAAAACACCTGAACCCAGAAGATTACGAAAGCTGATGCAGACATCAGGGGATTGAGCCAATAAAGACAGCAGCCTGGATGCCTTTCCTATAACTATTTTGATTCTTTGTTCATTTTATTAAATTAATATGTTTAACTTATTTCCAGTGGGTATGATGGGACACAGAACCATGGCTTTCCAGATCTGTAACTGACCTGAGCCCCATCAACCACAACCAATGGTAAAGGAATGTGAGGATTGTGGTCTGTAACATCTTGCACAGGCTCTCCATAGAGGCGAAGACAATATTGTAGTTTATGTTTTGATTCCTTCCTGGAGTTGATTTGGAGCAAAAACATATCCGTATGTTTCTACACATATATGTATGCAATATATATCAGAGACACTAGTCTTTGAATTGTTATTAGTTGGGTAGTTGCCAGTCTTCCTTAAAGATCTACCTAACTAGGTTGTTGTGAGGATAAAATAGGAAAATAAGACCTAACCTGAAGCCCTAGTATGATTTTCCAGGATGCTCGTAATATATGCCCTACCACAAAAATAAGCCCCAGTTAAGTGAAACCTGCCAGCATTGTTGAAGGGAGAAGTGTACAATTATTTAGTCAGTTATTTTAGCAGTAAAACTTATATGGAAACAATCTTTGCCACAGGACCTTTTTCCCAATGGTAATGTTTCAAGTCATTGCACCCAGCTTGTTACAAAATACCCAGCACCTATATACATCGGCTCTTGAGAAGGCTCTGGAGGAGGCTCTTGAGAATCCCCTGGACTGCAAGGAGAACAAACCTATCAGTTCTAAAGGAAATCAACCCTGAATGCTCACTGGAAGGACAGATCCTGAAGCTGAGGCTCCAGTACTTTGGCCATCTCATGAGAAGAGAAGACTCCTTGGAAAAAACCTTGATGTTGGGAAGGTGTGACGGCAAGAGAAGGGGACGACCGAGGATGAGATGGCTGGACAGTGTCTGCGAAGCAACCAACATGAATTTGACACAACTCTGGGAGGCAGTGGAAGATAGGAGGGCCTGGCGTGCTCTGGTCCATGGTGTCACGAGGAGTCGGACACGACTAAACGACTAAACGATATACATCGGCATACCTTATTTTCCACATTTTCTATTACAGTAACTGTCTGTTGTCATAAATTACCACAAGCTATAATATCAATATATTTGCTATTCCTCATCTGGAACAACTGGTGGCAGTAAAATACTGATAATACACAGAGAAAAATGTAGGTTTCAGAGCGTTAGATCTCACAATAAGTTATGCAAGGCAGTAGTGTTACATTGTCTTGTAGGGCCTGTTATAGCAAGTTTGATGTGATGTTTCTTTACATGTGAAAACATCTTAGTAGGTTTCAGAGCGTTAGATCTCACAATAAGTTATGCAAGGCAGTAGTGTTACATTGTCTTGTAGGGCCTGTTATAGCAAGTTTGATGTGATGTTTCTTTACAACATGTGAAAACATCTTAACATAACCAACAGCTCTGGCTCTCTCTTCTTTTCCTTATTAGTGGCTGATGCTATGCAGATCCTTGAGCACTGCCTATCTTTGATAACATAGTGGACCAATAAACTAAAAGTGAATCCAGATGAGATGAAGATCCTATTTTAGGAGGACTGCTGAACCTGAGGGAAATTCACCTAGCCTCAATGGATCAGATCTGCAGCCTGGAGGTACTCTTTTACATATTACTATCAAGTGAGTACTCCTCTCCTCCTACTAGTACAGCCAGCCTGTGTGGCCATGGGTAAGCTACACAGTCCCCAGATATTACTATCAAGTGAGTACTCCTCTCCTCCTGCTTGTATAGCCAGCCTGTGTGGCCATGGGTAAGCTGCACAGTCCCCAGATGCCCACAGAAGGGAATGGTAAGCCGCTTCTGAATATTCTCTACCTGGAAAGTCCTAGAAATGGTCACCATGCCATAATTGACTTGACGGGCACATGATGATCATTTATATTTATGGTTATAAATACTGTATGTTGTATTGCCATAGTGTTTTTGAATGTAATTTTTGGTTACTGTGGGGCATTGAGGGTTGCAAGTTTAATTTTGTGTGAACTGTCCAGCATAATGCTTGCATCAATAGAGCCCTGGAAAGTCCTAGAAATGGTCACCATGCCATAATTGACTTGACGGGCACATGATGATCATTTATATTTATGGTTATAAATACTGTATGTTGTATTGCCATAGTGTTTTTGAATGTAATTTTTGGTTACTGTGGGGCATTGAGGGTTGCAAGTTTAATTTTGTGTGAACTGTCCAGCATAATGCTTGCACCAATAGAACAGTATATAAATTAAATGAATGAATAAATACAATGCACGTTTCACAGTAGGATTTTGGACAGTGTTTCTCATAGTTCCCAAATGTAAGCTACTTCACCCCATTTCTCTCCTGGAAGAATTTCATCACATACTGTACAAAGGAAAAAAGAATCACAGTATTGGACGTCTATCATTTTCCAAAATTATATCCTGACCCATTTTGGATATACCATTTCATAATCTGACCTGATTTAGAGATAATTGGACTCAATTTTTTTTAAAGGTCTGTCTTTGTCAAGTACTTACTGTGGGATTTTTAGCTAGTGGTGATATGTAAGGAAAGGGTAATGTTTAATTAAAAAATTGTTTCTCCACCAAGGTGTCATTGAGGCTGATTATATTATTTGATCCAGCAAAATTTCTGATGATTGTTCCATAGCAGTTAACTCCAAGGCAAATATGATCACGTAGTATAGCAGTCTAAAATAATGGAATTTCACTCTAAACTTTGTATCTTTCATAGAAAAGTTGTTTTGTGTCAGGAATTAGCTTCAAGAATATTCTCAATGATACTTCGAATCTCTTAGGCTTCATGACACTCTGCTTACCCAAGAAAATCCAGCTAGGGCCTGCAGTCTTCATTAAATCTTTCAGGGCTAAATCCAGTTAGCAGATCCACTGAATGAATTGGTTGGACTTGGTAAGTCAACGGAGTCACTGGGTCTTTTCTATCAGGAACTAGCAATCGCATTTATCCATTAGAATAAGGAAGGGGAAAAGAATGACTCAAGGAGATTGGCTAAGATCTTTTTACTGCAATCCACTTGCACAATCCTATGCTGCACAAATAACAGGACTCTTGTGGACCTTAAACAAGGAGGTATCCAGAACCTCTGTAAGAAAGCATATGTCCTGTTGACTTCAGGGGGCAAGCTCTAGCACAACAGCAAGTGCCAAAGATCACAGGATTCTGATAAGGGCTCCTCTTACCAATGAAATATAAAATTAGTGGCGCAAGTGGGAGGAAAGAACCACACAATTATCCAAATGGGTAACTTTTATTTGTGGATAAAAATTAAGGCTCACAGTACTTTTATCATTTACAAGCAGAAAATGTTTTTTAAGGAGAATGCTAGGAATTATTCTCTATACAAATTCCTTTGAAAATGCTGACATGTCTGACCATAGATGAGAGGGTGAACAAACTGAACAAGAACCACTGCATTCATAATCTACGTATACATTCCCTTCTGGATCACAACAAGACAGTCATCTGTGTCTCTGCATCTGGCTGAGATGATAGGAATTAACACCATGAAATACATTCAAAGACTAGAAGGATGGCAGTTAAGGTATATTCCACATTCTGCTTCCTGCAAAAACTAAATCTATGTGTTGTGTGTGTGTGTGTTTTAAAAAACCCCACAAAATTGTTTTCTACACCACTGGCATCTTGGCTAAATTTTAAACAACTCACTTATAATGCAATAAACATTACATTTGTGTACTTCTGGCTCTTGCAATAATCAGCTTTATAAATTCTGCCAAGGTCTATTTTATTCATGACTCCTATTTAAAATATAAGTTATCATCTAGAGGGAACTGAATTTACATATTTCCAAAGATAGAAATCCTAGACAGCATGACTAGTTGTGTATCTAACATAACGACTATCAAAGCAAAGTGTTCAAATTCCAGCTGTAAAGGCACAGTCACTATTCAATAAAACTTCTGCCTCTTATGATTGTAGCCATTATGCTTATTTTTCAAAACTACATAAAAACTATGCCAACACTATGGATTATAATATTGTTTTAGATATCAGTCTGGAAAAAATTGTGTTTAAATGGCAACATTTCAATGGAAGAGAAGGTGCTTCTGGCAAATGCCATAACCTCAGCCTCAAGGCACAGCAATAGATCCAAGGGAGCTCCAATCTCAGAACCCAAATGTTCAGAACTCAGCAGAATGTCAGGAACCAGAGTTCCCTGCTTCCAAATAGTGCTTGTCTTTACTCTCACTGCCAGGGACTCATCAGCAACTGCTCTGAAAACTCTTCTGACTTGGCTTTCTTAAAACCATGTATTATGGGAAAGCATGAAGACTGGATGAAATGGACTGCAGTCCTAATCTCTGCACTCTCTCATTCAATGTACTTATATCAATGTTGCAAGATCTCCGCAGGAAATTCTTGAAGAGAAACCAAAACATCTGGGGCACAGTACAGTTGTCAGTACAACAAGAGACCCACCAGGTTATCCCGGCCATCCAAACACCCAAGGTTTTTTGTTCCCTCAGTTTCTGACTGGTCACAGTGAATTCATAGCCAACACCACCCTTTTTCTCCTTCCTTTGCCATACAGGAAAATGTTGTAGCACAGAGGAGCAGAGAACAGGCAAGGAAACACTGGTCTGGTTAATTCATCCAACCATGTCTTGGAAATTCAGACAAGGAGAGCGGCCTTGTCTTGAATGAAAATATGAAAGGCTGATGTTTTGGCATCAAATCTTGCTTTAAACGGAAACACTTATTTCATCTCCTCTATACAATTGCAATCGTTAGGTGACAAGTTTCCATAAACCCTCAGCAGAGCAAATGATCGCCCGTATCCTCCTAGGAACTGTGGCTATGTACTGCTTGAGCATCTGAGCACAAACAAAACTTTTGTGGGCTTGTACTGATTTCTGGTACAAAACTGAATTGGGAAGACATTCATAATAAACTGTGGCAATCTTAGAGAAAAAGTACTCTTTTTATGATGGAATGGGCAACCTCTGACGCTTGAGACGTTGCTGTACAATGGATATTATGTGCATTATATTTTGTCACTAGCTATGCTGACAAGTTCGGAAGAGAGTTGCTATCCCACAATTATCTGGAGGAGCAACATGTTGTCTACCCATGCTTGATGGCAACTAGGCACTTTCCTCCTTTCCTGTTACATTAACAATATCTCCAGATTGCTGGAACTGGAACTCCTGACAACTCTCACCACTGGCTAGCTAGAACTGATGGGAGCTACAGTTGCTCCCTCCTGCTGAGGCAGCTATACAGACACATTTCTATTTGAGTTCAGAATATGTGGACCACTACCCACACCTATGCAAAACACATCTAACTTCTAAACCCGATGCACACACTGAAAGCAGAAGTAACTATATTCACCTTTCCAATTTAATTAGCAGGTTGTCCTTCAAGAACCAACAATGAAGAAACTAATTTAGATTCACTTTTGTGAAGCTGACTGCGAAACCCAATCACATAAAAACTGGCAAAACATTTCAACAGGTCTCATAAAGGCATGCATAAGGGTTGCTTTTCCCTTGCATTTACAAAATACTTTTGTGAAATCTGGAAGCAATGGGAAAGGCCAAAGGGATAAAGACAAAAACTGAATGGCACAGATATTTTGATGGCTAGTGTGAATTGTTTTTTGATTTTGTGTAAAATACAGTATCTGCTTCAAATCATATATATATAATTCCTGCCTTGTTCTCTTGTAACTGATATAATTACATTAAATACAGATTATCACAGCATGGTAGGGAAGATGAAAAAGGTATGCATATATTATGGAGAAAACAAGGAGAGAAGTGGGTGAATAGAGTCATTATTTGCGTGCCGGTTTAGAATATCATCACTTATTGCCATGGGCTTAATATTCCAAATGATATGGAATAGGATATACAGAGTACAACAAACAAATATACATTAATTCCACAATTCAACAATACCCACTAGTCCATTTGGCAAAATATTTATTTATAATAAATCTGTTTCAAAAGCAGTTGGTCACTTTTTTCCATTTTACATTATTAATAGGCTCTAACAATGGTTTTGGTAAATGTAAATAAAGGGCCTCTTTTTACACAGTATACAAAAAAAATTAAAAAGAGACACTGAAGTGACAACAATAGAAACACATGGAAAAAAACTGGAAGAGTCAAATAGACAAAAAAAGGCAAAGCAATATGAATCTATCTGCACATAGGCAATACTGCCCTAATTATTTTACCCGTACATATCCTCAGCCCCACTTACCTCAGTCCTCCCCCCACCCCATATCATCACTCTTAGTTTGCAGATTATGTTCCAGGAAAAAAAAATATTTTTTTAAAAAAATCACATGTGATGTAGCAGCAGCTCCAGTCACTCTTTTCACAGTACTGCATGTCAACACTGGGAATGGTTTTTGATATAATTTAAAACTCCATACAGTACTTTCACTTCGGGGGAAATCATAACTATTCCCACTCAGTTGTTCCTGGTGGTTTTGAAGTCAAGTCATACATCACCCTGGAGATTCCAGGAATCTTCTTAATCTCTGTCACCATTTTCAACACAACCTATGTTGGGGGGGGGGGTGAACAACAACAAAAAAGACAGTATTAAGGAAGGTATTCTCCTCTTTGGAAGAAAAGATGTAAATCAGGATTGGATTGTAAGGCATGTTAGGTAAACTGGAATAACCCTATTCAGGTGTTACAGCCCGAAACTGGGTTAAGTTTGAAAATCATGGTGACATGGCAACACAGGTAAGTCCTGTCCGCCCATCCCTACTCCTCCTGAAGTCACACAGACCTTTGCATTTATATAGCAAGGATCTGCAGCTGCACTTCCAAGCCTGTTCTGTTGCAGACACTTACAGCATTTCTCTGACTGAAGATTTGATAAGACAGACAAGACATAATTATGGAAATGCTGGAAAGGTGTTAAACAGAATGTACTTCCAAGTCCCTCTCTGGGGAAAAAAAGAAAAAAAAGGAAAGTCCACCTAGGGAGTGGGACCATACATGCATGCCTTCATCACTACCAATGCTTCAAGCCCTACCTGGTGTCATGCTGTAACACCTAAATAGGGCTGATGTTTCACCCAGTCCTCTAGAAAGGTGATTTTTTAAAATAAAAGCTGCTTTATTGGCCAAAAGAACCTCAACACACAAACAACACCCCCAAATAGATAAAGGGCTCGCCGGAGATCAATTTCATTCATTCATTCATTCTTGTCAAATGAGCTCTTGCAATGCTGCCTCCTCACCTTTTCTCTCCAGTTACAGAACTGCATTAATTATAACTAAAATATGTCTTTTTAAAAAGGCAGCCCTAATAAAACACATCTGAAATTACAAACATGGCTGTGTGATTAAGGTCTTATTCCCTACTCCAAAGCTATGAAATAAAACCCAGTAGCACAGACTACATGACTGCCTACTAACTACCACAGAGAACAACCTCAGAGCGAGGGGACTGCTGTTTCATTCAACCTCCTGAAGGCAAGAGAGGTTCTGAGGAAAGCCATTCTTGTACAGGGAAATGTGTTGCCAATAGAAGGACTCTAATCACTAGAGTTTACTGTTTAAAAAATGTGAATATAAAAGAAGAGGCTTTGCTGCTTAGGAGGCTTTTATCCTCACAGCCTAAATTAAATAAAATGGGTGGTTATAAGTATGCAACAAATGGATCTATATAAACCATTACATTGCTATAGGCATCCTTCAGTCTCAAGAGACTATGGTAACATGCTCTGAATAGAGGTCTTGGAACAGCGTCTAGTGTGGCTGAGAAGGCCAATTCGAGAGTGACAATCCCTTCAACACTGAAGACAAATACAATCTGTCCCCTGTCCAGCTCCCTGACTTTCCTAGTTTCAGGACTGCCTCTTTGCCTCGACCTGCTGGACAAGTGTCTCTTCAAATTGGGAGAGGCCGTGATGCACCGCCTGCCTCTAGGCTGAACGCTCAGATGTTAAATTTTCCCATCTGTTGTGGTCCATTTCTAAGGCCTTAGCTTTGATGCTGAGAGCATCCAAAGAATATTGGCAACATTTTCAGTCAACAGTTTTGAACTAAATACTGACGTTTAAATAAAGGTCTTTAATTAAAATGTTTTTTAAACGATGCTGACCTTTGATTTTTCCTTCAGCATTGTGCCCAGAGGTCCCAGAAGAATCCACTTCTCTGAGACAGCCTGCTTGTAACACTTCATCGGGCATAAGCAGCTGCATGACCTCCAAAGGCATTGGACTAACACTGTCTTTGGCCCCAGCACCATGGCTGAAGAGCAAAGATTGGAAAGACCTGTTCTCCAAAATATCTAGAGGCTAGCATGTGGCCTTTCTCTACTCTGCACTACAAGCTGATTTGCTTACAAAAGATAATAGACAATGTTCCCTTGTGCAGCTATGCCAATGTAAAGTAAACAATGTAACTTAACTGCTTCTTTCTGCTTAATAGGACAAGTCCCTGCTTGGATTTTCAGATGTGTGCCAATCCATCAGATTGGGGTGTGCCCAAAAACCCAAATGGGTACTCATTAATTAGTAGTGAGAAGCTGCTATAAATAACAATTCCTCTTTCACAGGCATAACTAGGTAACAGGATTCTAGCCAATAACAGCAGCTTTTTTAGTATTTCAATATACAGAACAAATGTTTTTCCACATCGGCAAAGGAACTGATAGTCCTTTAGCTAATTTATTTTACTTTACCTCTTCTGGTATCTCATTGCCAGGAGTCGCTGCAATACCAGTCATGAAATCGCTAGTAATAAAGGTTCGAATGACTACTGATCTTTGACAGGAAGGCTGCTTCTGTAAGGGATCTCGATCAAAATGCAACGGTGTTAGGATTATTGGCATCTGGCTGATTTTTCCAGAATAACCTTCAATAAAAGAGCAAACATACTGCAATTAAAAACTTGTGATACTGATAAAGAAAAAGAGCACAGACTATTGCTAAGACTGGTGGACAAAAACTGGTGAGCTGCTGGACAATTCTCCATTCAGTCACGAAGCTCACTAGTTAATCCTGGTGAGCCAGTCATTATCCAAGTTTGACCTGTGTTGCACCTGTTTTGTAAACATAAAATGGGAGAGGAGGAAGTACAGTGGGCACTTGTGCTACAACCATTTTTTAAAAACTACCATTCCCCAAACTTCCCAGCCAGCAGAGTTGGTTGCTTTTCCAAGCAATGTCTCAGGTCCCTGAAAGAATAGAGGGATACAAATGAAGTTTGAAAAACACAGCTCCAAGGCAAATTGTGCTCCAAAGGATGATTCTGAAAAGACGCTTGTAAAGGAGATGTACATGTTATGTTAACACTACAGTTCTCTTAACATTTTCATGTCATCCACTTTTTGTCCGAATGCACACTTTTGGCTATAAAATGAAGAATAGTTAGTGTCTCAAGCTATTAAACTTTCTGAAGCTAGAATTTTACAAATTCAAGATCTATTCCATTCACATCCAAAAAAACATCTGGATAGTTTGATGAATTGGAATAGGTGGGATTTACACAAGTACTGACTCACGATTCAGCGAGCAGCTAAATTGGTCTGCTCTTGCTGAGATCAGCAACTGCATTTAGGCCTTTCCCTATAATAGAGTATTTCATACAAACAAATAGAGCAAACAAATGCATATACTAACCAGATTCCCTGAGAATGTTATGAGCTTCAAAATCTGCTTGTCGCAACGTGCTGAGAACTCCTGTTGTCAAGAATGTTGGAGTAACATCTGTGGGGGGTTCCTTAACTGGTGGGCCAAACACATAAACAACTCTAAAGAAAGAAGAAAATGTAGAGCATTAGACTGTGCACTTTCTCCAATAAGACATGGTCTTTATTCAAGCAAGGCATCCAAATATGCTACATGGATTCTACCCAGCTTTATAAACTGTTATTTCAATCAAACTGATAAGGGAGGTAGCTGTATTAGTCTAGGAAAGGAACTATGGCACCTTAAAGATGAGTCCAGTCCACTTTTTCAGATTTGTTAGAAACATGGTCTGCAGAACAAGGGCTAAGACATAGGGCCATGCTTTAAGTATCAAGGTCTTCTGACTCTTTCCTCTTAGTATGCCTTTTTGAGTAAAACTGCAGAAAGAATATAAGTCATCTGTTCCCCTATTTAGTGTTTGCCTTTACTTCTCATGAAAACTAAACAGCAGCTGTACTTATAAATACCATAGGCACATACCGGTTTATATTGTGACACATGCGTGGTATGAGTCTGGCCAGGAACATCAGGGACTCCCAATGTGGAGCATCTTTACTGGAGATCCCACACACATAGCTGTAGGAACGACAGTCTCCCTGCAAATCAGCAGAACAAGACCAACAGTTGATATATTTTAAAGCACAGTTTGAAAACATGGGTGAACTTTATTTGCAGAACTCTTGTCTAGGTCTATGGCATTTTAACTAAAGGTGGTTCCAAACTGTCTACTGGTTTTCTGGCGGTCTGGTGATCAGACTGCCTCAGGAAAGCAAAGTTAAAGCATCATCCTCATCTATCACCAATCTCTACCTGCAATAAACAAAATAGTATCCCACATGAACCTCTGACTATTCTTGCTCCAGTTAACAGTAAGAAACTGATGATGATTCATTCAAACTCCACAGCTGCTTAAGAATTTATTTATCTATTATCTCAACTTATATACCACCCCACAGTACAAAGCATTCTCTGGGAAGTTCACAGCATAAGAATACAAACAATAAAGAATAATACCACATAGTATATACTGTAGATGCATATTATTAAAACAACTTAGTGATCCCAAAACTATTCGGCCCCAAATTTACAAAAGGGATCATTTACCCATCTAAGCTCTTCCCTTACATGTGTGAAAATACATATTCTTTTCTTTCCACCTTGTTTTATTCAAACTCCACAGTTACTGAAAAAACAAATAGCCTCCACCACTTTTAGGATTACTCCAGCAGACACAACTTTACTCACTTGTACTCCCACAGTTTTGATTGGCAGCAAGAAGGCATTCAATGAATGGAGACTTGTAATTTGCATCAATTTCTCTTGGTCTTCTTCAGTTGTACATGCTTTGACCCTCTGCAACAGTGTATGAGGCTAAGTATCAAGCAGAAAGTCAAGCTAAGTATTTAAACATGTCAGCAGATTGTGCATCACTAGTTGTTCAACCTCTGTGCACAGAGACAAAAGTTAGAATGTAAGGGATTTTTGCAAAAATAAAAAACCTTCCATGCTTATGAGACTGGTAACGACAGGTTACGCACCTGTAACTTGACCCTCTGCAACAGTGTATGAGGCTAAGTATCAAGCAGAAAGTCAAGCTAAGTATTTAAACATGTCAGCAGATTGTGCATCACTAGTTGTTCAACCTCTGTGCACAGAGACAAAAGTTAGAATGTAAGGGATTTTTGCAAAAATAAAAAACCTTCCATGCTTATGAGACTGGTAACGACAGGTTACGCACCTGTAACTGCAGTTCTGCAAAAATAAAAAACCTTCCATGCTTATGAAACTGGTAACGACAGGTTACCCACCTGTAATTGTAGTTCTTCAAGTGGACCTCTGTGATTCACACTCTGGGTGCTCCGTGCCTGTGTGGAGCCTCATCGGAAAGTTCTAGAGCTTCTGCGGTAGCAAAGAACACATTAGAATAAGGCCTCTCTCCCCTCGTATAAGTACCTCGATTAGAATAAGGCCCCTCTCCCCTCGTATAAGTACCTCGGGTGCCAAGCGTCCCCTTTCAGTTGTGTCACCTGCCGCTAAATTAAGCAGAATGGCGTGGCAGTGGGGAGGACGGGCAGGATGTGTGAATCACAGAGGTCCACTCAAAGAACTACAATTACAGGTGGGCAACCTGTCGTTCTTCTTCATGGCCTCTGTGAATCACACCCTGGGTGACTAAAAAGCTGTTTTACCTGGAGGCAGGGTGTCACTCCAAGATAGAGGCTAGAACAGCACGTCCAAAGGCCGCATCAGACTTTTGCCGGAGATCAAGTCTATAATGGTGGATGAAAGTGGACAGCTGTGCCCAGGTGGCAGAGGTGCAGATGTCTGGAAGAGGTATGCCATGTAGGAATGCCGTAGAGGTTGCCACTGTTTTGGTGGAGTGAAGGCGAATCACCTTTGGGATTGGTTTATGTGCCAGCTGATACGCGAGGTGAATGGTTGAAGCAACCCATCTAGATATAGTTTGAGATGTCACCTGGCGACCTTCAGTAGGTGATTGGTGACTTATGAAAAGTCGAAGTGAACACCTGAAAGGTTGTGTGCATTGGACGTAAAAGGCAAGGGCTCACCTAATGTCAAAAGGATGGATGATTCTTTCTTGAGTTGTGGACAGTGACGGGAAGAAGGAATGAAGGATAAATGGCTGAGAGAGATAGAACTGAGATACAATTTTGGGGAGGAAAGAAATATCCATGGATAGTTTGTCAGGAAAAAACTGTAAATAATGATAGTTGTGTCGTAAGGCCACTAAATCACTAGCACGTCGAGCTGAGGTGATGGCGATGAGGAAAACTGTTTTAAAGGTAAGTAACCGTAAAGGTAAGTAACCGTAAATAAATAAAATAAATAAATAAATCAGTTAAAGCTAAAGGTTTGAAAGGAGTTTTAGTAAGTTGTTGCAGTACTAGTGTTAGTAACCAATGCAGGGAAGGCGGGCGGGTATCTGGGTAGATATGAGATTAGAGCTTTAAGAAAAGGGTGCTTAAAGAAATCAGCTGCTGGAGAGTTAGATAAGAAACTATGTCAGAGAGGCAAACTCTGAAGGAAGAGAGGGAAAGGCCACTAGACTTGAGATGAAGCAAAAAACCAAAACCAAAAAACAAACAAACAAACAAACGTAGAACAGTATCAAGTGATGGGTTGATAGAAAGCAATGAAGAAGCTTCAGTGAAAGATTTGAATCTGTTCCATTTATACAGGTAAGCCTTTCTAGTGGAGTGCTTCTTTGATTGACGCAGGACGTTCATTAGTGAGGCAGACTCCCCCACACTGCCAGGTGCAGAACAGGTAAGTCTGGGTGGAGTACTTGGGAGCTGTTCTGCATGAGGGGGTGGGGAAGGCAAGGGAGGTGATGAATGTCTGATGAGAGATTGTGAAGGACTGGAAACCAGCGTTGTCTTGGCCACCAAAGGGCTAAAACGATGGCATCGGGCTTGTCTTGTTGTAGGCGAACCATGACCTTGTGGAGAAGCAGGAATGGTGGAAAAATGTAAGTGAGGGTCTTCGGCCATTGACCGATGAATGCATCTCCTTGGAAGTGTTTGCCAATGCTGGCGCGGGAGCAGTATCATTTGCACTTGATGTGAAGCAATTTCTCTCTGGAGAAATCACTTGGCGTGGATTTTGAGAGATTTGCAGTGAGCTCCCCAGCCTGGCGATGGTGGCGACCTGTATTTGTGGTCGTCGGAACGGCTACCACTGAAGTTGGGAGGCGAATTCTGGGGTGACCCTTAAAAGAGTGTGAGGAGGGTCTGTGAGCAGATCAAAGAGGGCAAGAAACCACGACTGAAGATATCTCATCTTGAGACGTACGTGCTGCACTACTGAAGTCATAGAGGCCATGGTGTCCAGTACATGTTGCACAATCAAGGCGGGTACCATAGCATGAGGGGTGAAAACTTGAAGAAATACGATGAGATTTTCTCTCTTATCTGGAGGAAGAAAGGTGCGAGCTTATGTGAAATCTATGCATGCACCTATATAATGAATAATCTTTGTAGGTTTCAAATTTGATTTTTGTTCGTTGACAGCAAGACCGAGATCGCGAAGGAGGGTAAGGGTGAAGTGAGTGTCTCGTTGGACCTTGCGACAGGAATGAGCTACGAGGAGCCAATCAATACAGTGATGCCTTGCATAGCAAGGTTAATCCATTCCAGATTAACCCTCGCTATGTGAAAACATCGCTAAAGGGATCATAAAAACCCATTGGAACGCATTAAACATTGTTTAATGCATTCCAATGGGCCCTAAACTTACCGTTCAGCGAAGTTTCCTCCATAGCGGCAGCCATTTTCGCGCCCTCAGTAAGTGAGGGGAGGGCTCGAAAACGCTGTGCGCGGCCATTTCGGGCGTCCGGCGGCCATTTTAGAACCGCCGAACAGCTGATCCGCGGGCATCGCAAAGCGAAGATCGGTAAGCGAAATGCTTACCGGTCGTCGCTATGCGAGTTTTGCCCACTGGAACGATCAGTATGCCTCCACATTAGCAATCCCGAAAAGGGGATCGCTATGCGGATTCATCGTTGTACGGTGCACTCGTTAAGCGAGGCACCACTGTATATGGAAATACGAGATTTTTTTTGCAACCTGAGGTAAGTAGCTACTGGTGCTATGTACTTGGTGAATACTCTTGGAGCTATTGCAAGGCGAAAAGGAAGCCTTTTGAATTGGTAGGCTTGTGATCCTAGCTGAAATTGAAGGAATTTTCTGTATGGAGGATGTATAGAAATATGTAAGTATGCATCTTTGAGATCTATGGCAGTGAACCAGTCGTTTTTGCAGAGTAAAGGGAGAACTCATTCAAGGGTAACCATATGGAATTTTGTGGTAATGATGTATTTGTTTAACTCTTGTAGGTCTAAGAGAGGGGGAACACCTCCGTCCTTTTTGGGCCCGGTGAAATAGCGAGAGAAAAACCCTTTGTTGTATTGTGAGGTGGGGTTGTATGACGTCTTTGAGGAGTAAATTTCTTGTTTCCTCTTGTAGGGTTGGAGATGGTGGAGTGATGATGTCTGTTGCTAGAGGAAGTTGGAAGAAATGGATGCAGTAGCCGTTGCAGATGATGGACAGTACCCAGACATCTGTAGTGATGGATTCCCAGACAGGCAGGTGTGTCCAGAGGGCAGGATGGGTGGAGTGGTGTGTGATCTCGGTCATGGGAGCGTCAAACGTGATGTTTGGGCTTGCGGTCATTGCACCTAGTAATGAGTTGTTGGTGAGGTTTATTTCTTTGAATTCTGAAATAGGGTGTACAAGATGTTTGTTTTGGAGGATCACGTTGGAATTTTTGATATGAGTTGTACGGTCGTCTCAATTCATTTTGTTGGGGGTGTTGTAGGTAAGATGGATAAACTCCCCAATGTCTAGCTGCCGATCTTTTCTTTTGCACGTTTTCCAAAATATCATCAGTTTCAGCATTAAATAGGCCTGCCCCATCGAATGGAAGGTCTTTGATACATGTGCAGGCATCCTCAGCCAGGCCAGCTGTCCTTAGCCAAAAGAAACGTCATAAGGTTAAGTGTCATAGTATTCATGTTTGTGGCTCAATGTCAATGGAGCCAGCATGTCCATGGGCATTTGTCAGTGTCAAAGATTTTTAATATTGAGAGATGTCATCCAAGTGTCCATGGACGTCATTTTATATGGTTGAACATTGGTGTCGAACTTCGGGTCATAGTAATGTCGAGTCTGATGGCTTGGTTCTATCGGGCAACAGAAATAGTGCGTTGATAGAGGGACAGAATGAGTGTCCATGGATCAGGATAGATATCGAGGATCATCAATATCAGAGCCTGTGTCTCGGTGATGTCGAAACAGATTTTGTTGACGAGCTGGTAAAGCAGTGGAGTATACAGACGCTGGAGATGCCAAGTGAAAGGAATGATTTCCCTCGTCTGGATTAGAGGGAAAATATCCGGAGGCTGGAGCTGTAAAAGCCTCAAGTGTAGAAGAAAACTGCTCCATCGTCCTGGCTCTTTTAGGTGCCTGGTAGGGAGCAGGTTGGAGTTGATGTGGGTCATGGTGATACGGCCGTTTCGACACTGATGGCTGTAGAGATCGAGGCCCGCCACAAGAAGGTATGGCCAAGCTAGATAGAGCAACTGGCTGATTGGCGGTTGCGGTTTGTCCAGTTGAGCACTGGTTGGGGCAAATGGCAACCCGGTGAGAGTGCTAAATGCGGGTCTGAGCCACGCGTGATGAAATAGACAGCTCCAGGGACTGTTTGGGCCGATGTCTCTGAGGCGGTTGTGGTGGACGATCAGATGTTGCCTAATAAGGTATGGTCACTAGTTGTTGTTCGGAGTCGGCCCTGTCAGGTGAAGCAACTATGGAAGGGTTGCTTGAAAGAACAGTGTGTTGAGGACTGGGAGGAGAAGATGTTAATTGATCAACTCTGTCATCCCATTCCGGTGATTGGGAGCAGGGTTGATGAGAGGGGATACCATCATCATCAGAAGGTGAGCCAATAGAGACTGATTTGGCAGTTTGTTGAGGCTGCTGAGAAACAACTGCAATTTTAGATGTATGCAGTTTAGGTCTTTTAAGCGGAGAAGGCTCCGGAACTGAAGAGGCTTCGGTGGACATTTGTCGTTTAGTGGAGGGCTTCAATATTGAGAATTTCGGTATTGAGCACTTCGATTTATGAGTTTTTGAAGTTTTAGATGAAGTAGATGGAGCATTGGAGTGGGATGGTGTGGTCGATGGACATTGTTTTGAGGCTTCAGAAAGAGCCTTCTCTATTGCTTTGGTTTGTGAGGTGCCCTTAGAAGGAGGCTGGGCCATTTTGGTTGGTTGAAGGGATTGTTCCCAAAGATGGAGTTTTAATCTGGATAAGTGGAGGACTCCGTGCTTGAAGTTCTTATAATGCTGGCAGGAGGATGTCTGGTGTGCCTCTCCCAAGCAAAAAAGACACTTGGTGTGGCCATTGGAGAGTGGTATTTTGTTATCACAGACCATGCAGTGTTTAAACGGGTCCAAAGGGGCCATGAATAGGAGAAAATAATTTGAGGAGAAAAAACGATGATTGAGGGGAGACCGAGTGAAATAGAAAAGAAAAAAAATCTCTGATGATAATGAATTTGATCTAAAATTTAAAGGAAAAAAGATTGATAACAGGAAGGAATCAAGAATAAATCTCTTTCTCTTTTACTCACAGAAGCAGAACTATGAGGCTCTCAACGCGGCAGTTGAAAGAAACTGAAAGGGGAGCCTTGGCACCAAGGTACTTGTACGAGGGGGGAGGGGCCTTATTCTAATGTGTTTTTTGCTACCGTAGAAGCTCTAGAACTTTCTGATGAGGCTCCGCACAGGCGTGGATCACCCAGGGTGTGATTCACAGAGGCCACAAAGAACAACAAAATGTTGCCACTGGAGCAACATCAAGGGCTCCTGTTATTCTGTGCAACACAAGCACCACCATCACACCATGCTCCCTACCATAAAAATAAGCAGCAATGGCTAACATAACAGCAATGAATGAATGAATGAATGAATGAATGAATGAATGAATGAATGAATGAATGAATGACTGAATGAATGAATGAATGAATGAATGAATGAAGATTAACATAACAAGTTACTTTAGTATGCAGGAGTAAGAACAAGCCAAATGAGTAAATGAGATGAGTGACCTAACATTTCAAGTTGACATTTCAAGCTCAGCCCTTTTTATTATTATTTCTCAAGCACTTAAAACTTACTGCTACCCTTATAAAGATACAATCTGAGATATATCCAGCTGGTAGTCACACAGTCTACATATGGAAAGTATAAACCAGAATGACCAAGATATAAGGTATAAGTTGTCATGCTATGGAAAATGAGAGCACAAGGATATGATCTAAGAAGTCAAAGGAAAAAGCAAGAGGAGAATCTTGAGATCGTTCTTGAAGAAATCAAGACTATAGGCAGTGCTTTGGGAAGTTGTAAAAGGTTATGGAGAGGTGGCAGAGAAGACGAAAAAGCCAGCAAAAAACTCAGGGAGAATATGGAGTAGGTGACATGATGAAAAAGTGGATGAGAAAAAAGGGTTTCCTCAGTAAAAGACAAGTGGGTAGGAAAGCTACAGAACTGGCTTAGTATTATTTGCAATGCTAGTTCCTAATTAGCTTAGTTCTAGGCACATGCATGAACAAGCAGCAAATTCAGTCTGGTTGAATGCATTTAAATCCCTCAGCAATATAAACAATTACCTTTTTAACACTGGCAGAAAAGTCTGCTAAGATTTTCAAAATGTTGTTGGTTTCAGGGAAATCTTTGCAAACGTATGGTTCTTCAGCACATATCACCCTAATGGCAAGACCAGGACCTAAAATGTGATATAGAAAAAAGAACACAATGCTACAGCAGCCAACAAGAAAATGATGAGTGATATCTCTGAAATGCTGCGTGGCTACAATCATGACCATTCTGCCTACACTATCACTTATCTGTAAATGGCTCAGCAGAGTGCTTGCAAATATTAGCAAAGAGCTCTGAAGCACTCGTAGTTTCTGCACTGTTTGCCCACAATGGAAATGCATTACTCTAGGTTCACTTCAGATCACACAGATATTCCCCATAACTCTTTATTACATATTTTCTTTGGAGTGAGAGAGAAGAACTCTTGCTTTCCATCTCCTCCTGTGCTAATTCCTTATAACCTGGAATTCTTACCCTACACCAGTTTTTCCCCTTTGCATCAAGCAGCCCACAGTCCTTTTAATTCTCTGGGTAAAATCTAACTTTGGCATTGCTGAGACAGAAGGAAGGAGAGATAAGTTCTCAAATAAAAAAAATTACAACTTTAAAAGGAGGGTTTGGTTAAATAAGGAGTAACTGCACAAAGGAGTTATCTAAAAAGGACTGCATAAGAAAACAAAAACAAAGCAAAGAAAAGAACAACAAAAGACCCTTAAAACAAAAAAGAACAAGAAAACACAACAAGAATTCTTGCGACACCTTTATATGCAACAGATCTGGGTTGTTGTTTTTTGAAAGAAATACTGCCCTATTAAGATAAGAATACCCCTGTCATGAGCAGAAGAAGCTTTTTCCTTAGCAGAGGTGCATCTTAGGATTCAACCCACTGACTTCTAGTGGATTTTTACTGAATCTGTACCTGGGAAGGGATGTCTTGAGACCAGCTCTTCAGGCAGACCTAGTTCTCTTCCAAGTATTCTTACTTCATCCTTATGGAAGTCCTTCAGTGGTTCTATGACTTTGCCCTGCAAGGGAACATAATAGAAAATCTGCATTCAGGACTTGGACATAACAAGTAACTAATGAGAAAATCGATTTCTAGTACTGTACTACTGAGGCTATCATTTAAACCTTGCCTGTATTACCCCAATGAAATGTCACAGGAACCATGAAAACAGTGAAGTGATGCAAAGCACTCGGCATAAAATTAATTCAATCTTTTTTTTTCAGGCTCCTGCTGCACAATAAAGAAGTTTCTCATTTATACTTAATAATGCATCTGAAACTGCTCTTCTACTTTACTTGGTACAGAAATTCTTTGTAAGCGGGTCTGTGTGAGAATATTAATGGCTTGTTGTTGCTCATTAGGTTTTGTATGAGAAAGAATGGCCACATTTCTAAAAACATTTTTTTGCTTAATACTGCCCTAAAAGGCAACATACTTGCTACAGATAAAGCTGGGAAGGAAATGGAGTATAATTTCATGGCTGCGAGGGATGGAATAGGAGTATAGATCTGGATCTACTGGGTAGGTCTCTGGTTGATGTGCTGTTTAGTTATTGGCAGAGGGGGTGGTAACCCAAATAATATAACAAAAGTAAGATCAAGGTGGATAAAAACCAAGGCTTTTAAAAAACCAAATTAATTGAAATAAAGAAAACGATTTTTATTTAAATCATTAAAACTTTATTTTTAAAACTTAAATTGCGATTTAAATGAAATCCACCCTGAGCAAAATTCAAAGTGATTTTGTCCACTTAGATTATTCTGTTGAAATGAAGAAAGGTCATGTTTGTATTAAGTGGTATTTTCATGTAAAATGATTGTATGCTGAGGTCTATCTATGGGAATGGTCCTTTCCATCAAGCTCCAACTGGTGGACCCTAGGTTTTTTTTAAAAAAAGGCAAATCTAACAAGTCTGAAGTCTGGCTAACTCTACTTTACCACACCCATAGCTGAGTTAGAGGTAACTTAAAAATGAAATTTAACATTCTGTTTACCTCTTCTCTCAGCTTTCTGATGAGCTCTGTGTCGTTGTGATGAGTCTTGATAACTTCTGCTTTGCCACTGGCAACAAGGGAAGCACTCTCAATGAGATCAGGCCTCAAAGTTCCCTGAGCAAGGAAGACTTCCTCCGGTTTCAGATTCATTTCTCCAATAACTTCATTAGCAATCTGTAGTTGGAGTCAGGAGGAGGGCGAGAAATGGAAATAAAGAGACTCTTTCACAATTGTGCCCAAACCCTTATTGCAAATTGTGCGATTTACAGTCCTCATGAGCTGCACCCCTCTGCATGGCATGTGAATTCGTCGTTTTGCGAGGTCGTCATCTAGCGAGGTACCACTGTAGAGCTATTTTGAACCTATACAAGGTGCAATGGATAGTGGGTGACCCCTGCTGGACAAAACAGCAGGCTTTACTCAGTACCTTGTTCTGTTTCATATGTATAAAAAGCAGAAACTTTAGTAGGTTGAAAACACGCAGGAAGATCAATATACAAGGTTTGGCAAACAGTACGTCCTTTAGTATAGAACACAATTCTTTAGGATTGGCAACGTAGCATGGGGTTGACTGGAATTGCTTGTCAGGTCACTTGGGAAGCAAAACCAATATGGGGTAATCTGATCTATGAGGAACCTTCCCTAACCGCACAATCCTCACAGCTGCTATGGGAAACGGGGACACTACAGTGATAAAAAAAAAAACAACCCAATATGATTCTGATTTTGGACCAAAACCTACCACTGGAGGCAGAAGGTATCCCTAAGATCTTGCAATAATGAGGAAGAGTTTGGCCTGGGAGGGTTATATTGCTGCTTAGTTCCCATTGTGGCTTCATTTCTTCGAAGGACAGCAGTCCCAAATGCTGGTAAATTGTTGAATGAGACACAAATGTTGTTAAGCCACATGCTAAAGGCTTGGGCCTAGAAATAAAGTGTTCAAATCAGCATGGACTAGATGGTCACACCTGCGTGAGCACACATGTATACACAGAGACAACTTTTAGAGCAACAGCTATAAACAGCTGAATATTTTCCCCAGGAAAACAAGGAAAAGGGTACATCAAACGTTTCATCTTGAATGGTAAAACATACCTTAACAAAGGTATCACCAATGATTTTGCGTTTTTCCTCTGGACTCGTAGTCATATTTAGAGTTTTACTGATTCTTTTTCGCGGAGTTCTGTCTTCCTCAGAGATTGGCAGAGTTGTTGTGCCATTGTAGAACCAATGAGCTGCATTGACCACTGTATAAGATAGAAGATTTTTTTTTATCAATTAACGTATCTATTAAAGATGGGCACTAGCTCCTGACCCTGTCTGAACAAGGGCACACAGAAATGATGCCTGATCTGTCCCATGCCCTTGTCCTCCCATGCCTCCGCCAAGGCACTGTAGAGAGTCACATAAACAATAGAAAGATACATACATTAAAGAATTGTGGGCATCAAAAGCTGGGAAAATAAAAGGTTAGAGGAAATGATTATTGACTCTATCTGGTCTGAGGATAGAGGGGAAGCCCACACCACCCTGAGATCATGCCTGCTGCAAATCTCCACCTATTAATAAGGAGCAAGAAAATTGCAGAACTACAGGCTATTGTACCGCAGAAGCACTGGAAGATTATTAAACCAAAGTGCGCAAAGTAAAGGCCTCTAGATGTTGTTGGACTGCAACTCCCAGCATTCCTTACCACTGGCTCTACTGGCTAGGTACAATGGGAGTTGTAGTCCAACAACACCTTAAGGGCCCATTCTTGGACTAAATCAAAAGAGCTCAGAATCAAACTCTTCCCCAAAGAAGAGTCGGAAAGGAAACAAAGAAAGCTGGAGATACACAGGCCTTCTAAAAGAAGCTCCAAGTAAATACGGGGGGTGGGGGGGGGAAAGAGAATAGTTACAGTTCAGAACACAACATCTATATGTGGCAGAGACAGCTGCTTTAAACTAGGATAATGAGGTTATAAGTGTCTCGTAGTCTCAGTGGCTATATATCCCCTCCAATGCCAGAGACAGTACACCTCTGAGGTCTAGTTATTGGAGAGTATCAATAATAGGGTACATTTTGCTTGTGAGGTCCCCATGGGTTGGTCACTATGTGAAAACAGGGCTGTATCAGACAGGTCTTGGATCTATATAGATATTCTTGTGTCTTTATAATATGCCATAGAGAACCTTTATTTATCATCACCAATAGGCAGACTTATCTGTATGTGAAGTTCCAGCACTTATTTTCCAGGAACACTCCACATTTAATACAGAGCTATACTTTCTGGATAAGGAAGCCAAAGATGGAGATGGAAGTGAGACTATATGTCCCACTATCTAATTTCTAAAGTTGGAGCACACCTATAGGAAGTCAAGTGTTTTTAAATGTGTAGCTTAATATGGAAGGAGCAATGTAATACCTTTGACTTGAATTCCCAGTTTTTTGAGGGCCTCTTCCACAGACTGACTTTCTCGCTTCCTCATGAATCCGTTATCTATATGCACTGCAATCACCTGATCCCGATTCAAAGCTCGGTTCAGTAAAGCTGTACACACAGTGGAATCTACACCTCCACTTAGTAAAACCTGAAATGGCAGTGAGAGGAAAAGCAAGGGGATGTGTTGTTATGAATTCAGTAAGCACAAAAATGAAAGCATCCAAATGAAACATTTCATTTGCTTTACTGCTTTTCATTATTTACTACAATATCCAGCACAGTAGCTATTCAGTAAGCTAGCAAAGCATTCCCCATTTTAAGAAAATAATACAATGAAATCTGAAACCAGTATTCAAATCCCGCTCCTTATTAACAGAAATGACCATGGATCAAACTGTCAAACCTTACCAGAACTTTTGAGGACCCCACTTTCTCCTTGATCTCTCGGATGCATTCCAACTCTCTGTTTTGAACTGTGAAAGTACCACTGCACCCAGCAATATCATAAAGGAAGTTTTTAAGCATCACTTTTCCATTCACTGTAAGGCTAACTTCGGGATGAAACTGTGCCCCGTAGAGTTTTTTAGATTCATTTGCTATAGCTTGGACAGAAGGGAAAAATTAGGAATTACAATGATATGAAGTGATTGCTTCTATTTATATGGGGAAAACACATACAGAAATGATCAGAGGGAGACTAGTGTGTGTCAAGCTATGTGGGGGGAGGGCAAAACCTAAATGTGCACCACTTAGATTTATCTAAATAAACCTTGAGGTTTCCTACCAGAAACAGGCCAAAAGGATCAGATGAAGATAATGACCAGAATCCCATTGGATATTTATATGCATGCAGAAGGATCGACAAATTTGCAGCAGGAACTTGACAAGGTCCTGGGTTATGTGCATAACTGGATATGCAACCAGCATCTTGTCAATCACCTGTGGCAACTTCTATGATTCCTCTTGTGTGTGTGTGTGTAAACACCCACTAGGATTCTGACTTACTCTTCATTACATTAGAATAAGCAAATGATATAATTTCCCCAATAACCTATCCAGTTAGGTTTCTTTCAGGATCATAAATTGCCTTCAGTTCAAATAAGTGTGAAAATAACTACTTGTCATATTCTTTTTTTAACAGCATACATAACAAGAAGCAATGTGGGACCCACTGGTTTCATCCAAGGAAGAGGAACAAGCAGTTGCTCCATGCTCAAGAGTGCCCCCCCTCTTAAACAAAGCATATAAATGAGCAAAGGGTTTTATTACAAATGGCTACAGAAGTAGCCTTGGTCTAAAACGGCAACCACAATCAAAATCAGGTCATGTGGATCCAGTACCTTCTATTCAAATATCCAAGTGGGTTTCCCATTCATCTAGGATACTAGCCAAGTTTGCTGTATCAACCTGTGACCATGCTTCCTCATTACACACAAAGGGAGGAGAACTATAGATTCCATTGTTGATTTATAGATTCCAATTATAGATTCCATTGTTGATTGATCAAATCTAGAGATTACGAGCGCATGTACCAAGTTAGTGAGCACCCCCGAGTCAAGGTATGGTCGCAGCCGGGCAACAAACTGTAGGGTGCTTTTTTCCTACCATAAAAACTTGGCAAACAGTGATTTATTTCACAGCTATACATCTAACCAAGAATAGGATCTTTCAACTATACTTTTACATCTAACCAAGAACAGGATCTTTAACATCTCTTTTCTTCTTGCACAAAAAGGAGAAGATACAAGCCTAAGGCTTGTTCTGCCGCAACCAGACTATTGTAAATGGTGTTCGGCTCTTGGGGGGTGGGGGAGAAAGCCTTTTAAACAATCTAATGTGAAGATTTCCACTTGCATTTTTACAAACACAAAACGCCTTTGTAGTCTAAGGAAAGGCATGTTGTGAGTTAAACATGTTGACAGATGCAGAACTTTGTGCACTGTGCTACATTTTACCCAAGAGCTTCCATAAGAACAAACGGAAGAAAAAATAGCCTGGAAAAGACATACCTGCTATCACATTTCCAGACTGTGCAACAACTTTGAATCCATCTGCTACTTTATCTACACTATCTCCATGTGTGAGAAGCACTATCTCTTCCTTCTGAAGTCCTCTAAAAGTAGAAACAAAAAAAATGTCCAAACCAATAAATAACATTACAAACATCCACAATCTAGATCAGTTAAGCTGCTCCAATAAATACACAAAAGACTTGTGGGTGGAATACTACTTAATATTTTTTATGATTTAAAACTGAAACATTTTGAAGTTCAAAAGCTTGTATCATTATTATTTCCACTCTCCCTTCTACTCTTTGAAACCAAAGTAACCACAAAATCCCAAACGCCATTGTTAAAAGTGGCTCCACCAATGGAGGCTAAAATGAGGAACCAGGCCTTCTTGGTGGTTGCCCCTATTCTGCAAAACAAGCTTCCAACCGAGCTGTACCAGGCTCTGTCCCCCCTGATATTTAGGAAACTAATCAAGACAGAACTCCATAAAACAGCCTTTCAGAACATACAGTCAACCCTCGACTTACAAACGGCTCGAGTTACAAACATTTCGACTTACAAACCACTCTGATAGAAAAATATTGACTCGACTTGCACACTTAGATTCGAGTTACAAACCAAAAAAAACATGTTTGAGGAGAGGAAAGCATGAAGTTTGAACTTTCAGTTAACCGTTGGCCAGTGAAGAGGGTGCTTATCTGCTTCCTCGCTCTTCCCAGTGTTTTGAGAGTGGAGGGGGGGCTATCACCAGGACCAGTTCCGGATAGGTCGCGCACTATACGGAATAACTCCGCCTGCTGGTTGGACGCTTCGCTTATCCGGTTAGCAAAGTAAGTTCGACAGGCAGCCTTTACCCTGACAGGTATCAAATTATAATCCGTCGGGTTCGTCCTCCACTTACGTCCTAGCCTTCTCCTATGTCGCTTCAGGGCTCGTAGCTCCTGGTTAAACCAGGGTGCCGGGCAGATTCTGCGACAGAGAGGGCGTTTAGGCGCGATCATGTCTACGGCCCTGGTGGCAGCCATGGTCCAGCTGTCAACCAGAGTGTCAACAGGAGCGCTAGCCAGGTCAGCCGTAACCCCTCTCATGGCATCCTGGAATCCAACCGGATCCAGTAGCCTTTGAGGGCAGACCATAGAAATAGGTCCCTGCTCCCTGTGAGGGGGGAGAGCCACAGAAACGTTACATTTTACCAGATGGTGATCTGACCATGGCAAGGGGAGCGACACAAGGTCGGTCACCACCAGACCACACTCGCTCCAATTGGTGGAAAAGACCAGGTCCAACATATGGCCACCCATGTGGGTGGGGCCGTTGACATGTTGGGACATGTTCCAGGAAGCCATGGTTTCGAGGAACTCAAGAGCTGGCCCAGTAACCTCTGCATAACATATCCCCAGAAGTTGTTAATATTACTTTTTAAATTTAGGTCTTCTTTGATAACTGTGTTAGAACTGGTGTATTACCATATCGATTGTGTTGATATGTCAGGGGAGAGTTGGGCAGAGCCTTTGGGAGGTTTTGTGTTACATTCTGAAAACAGTCCAGTATAGTGAGCATTCAATAAGTGGGCGGTATATAAACCAAATGAATGAATTAATGAGGCAATATACAAACCAAAGCAAACAACAAATAAATAGGGTGGCATAAAAACCAAATACATACATACCTGAAGAGTGAACATGTATTATCTACAGTTATGCTGAATACTCCATCTTCTCTTACATCTTTTTTGTGTACTGTACCTCCAAATACCTTATTCATCATCTGTCCAAAGGGGGAAAAAAAGACTTCAGTTCCAAAGTTGCAAATGTTCTGTATATTAAGTATTGCAAATGACTATGGGTCACACGCTTACTCCTCCGACAACCTACACTGCTTTCCTCTTCAGTGCTGCTGCGCTGTTACTTGATTCTTTCCATTACTACTCTCAAAGGCTTCCAAACTTTGAAATGCTTGGGAGGGCAGGAGTCAGGATAAACGGAATGTAGTGTTCATGGTTTCATGCTGTGTTCCTGCCATTCTCCTGATATCCAATTTGTACTACAGCACTCTGCAGAGGAGTTCTGAGTTATTTAAATAATTACCAGCAACAGCTTGTCTCCTCCATTTCTGCAGGAAATAAAAAGCTTGTCTTAATAAGATATCTTTGTTTTGCATTAGTTACGTCTAAGGAGCCTCAAAACCTTACTTTCCTGACCTGAAGAATATCACCAACAGTAGAAGAATCAATAGTACAGCCTCTATTTTGTAGCCTCCAATAGTAGCCACAATAGACTGGGTTCAGATAGCATGACAACTTCCCTAAAGTTAGTGGCTAAACATGCCAGGATCTCTTGAGTTGTGAGCTGTATATAAGCCAGAAAGAAAGTATATAAGTCACAAACAAAGAAAAACCCCAATTCTGACTTTTTCCAGGTGGAGGAAAAAGGCCAGAGTCCCCAGTTAGGCCATCCTGCTAAACCAGGGCTGAGCAAAATGCACTCTGAATATGTTGCTTAACTGCAATACTGAACATTCTTCTCTATTCATTACACTGGCTAAGACTCATAGGAGCTGCATTTCCACAATGTCTGGAGGGCTGTACTTTGCCCACCATGGGCTAAACAACCAAGGATAGAGACAGCCAACTTTGTTCAACTCTTCCCACTGGACGTTGCTACCAAGTGGAAGCAACTGAACAGGATACTTGTTCATTTGTGGTAAAGTACGAACAACAGAAGTTACTTAACCTAATTATCTAATTGTCTAGCCTAATTATCTCTCGGGAAAACGCTATGTTCATCTGCTGACCTACTGAATGACTTACTGCTGACCTACTGAATGACCATGGGCTCTGGAACTATGCAGAAGTTCTGTCAGAATCTATCAGCACAGGTTAGCTAGCTTTCTCATTTTCTTGTGGGATTGTTCCGGAATTGTTTATGCCTCAAAAAAATCTTTTTGATTGCTTCTTTGCTCCACAATCTTTTGACGGTTTCTGTAACTTTTGAAACTGGAAGTTTTGCTCTTTGGACTTTTTCACCACCTTCAATAAAATATATAATTTTACAATTTTTACAACCGTTTTGTCATTTTACAGAAGAGGGCTATTGATAGTATAAACAGCCCTTGCCTTGATAATCTACCAGAAGCCTGTCTATTTTGTGGGTACTTTTGGTATTTGCATCTTGGGTTGGAACAAGAGGTAGTCTATCTAATTTTGTGGATTTTTCTGGTAACTCCCTGGAAGTACTACTTAGAGTCGACTAAGGTGTGGGAAGAGTAACAGGCAAGAAGATCTCACCCAGCCATCAGCAAATTTGCCCCTCCTGGATTTTACCCCACCAGGAAGTCTTGGCCATGCGGCTATGTGGTTCATATGGGTCTCTGACCCAGCATAAATTGTCTTATACAGCTACACACACAATCAAAGTTCCCTAGGGATTTCATTTTCACAAATATTGCCAAAGCACCAAAACTGCTTTAAAAACTTCCATTATTTTAAATTGTAGCTTGAGACTGAGCACACTAGCCTCACACAAACATCCAGAAGAAACATCCAGGGGATAGATGCCAAATCCAATTAATAGTGGTCATAAATACTTAAGCCTTCGTCTCGTGATCTGTGTGAGAATGCTGGCTTCTTCCAAACAATTAACAGCCTGGCAAGAATGGGTGGAAGCAACTGCACAGAGTACTTGTTCATTTGTGGTAAAGTACGAACAACAGCTACAGAAGTGACTTATGATGTGTAAGCTCGGCTCCATAGGTATAATACTACACACACTGTGTTGCAAATGCCAAAGTCCCATATCCTGCAACGTAAAAATCACTAACAAAAAAGGCAGGAAAAACCCAGGCATAACTCTCATCATGGAACTGAACGTTTTCCCACCAGGAGAAAGCAGAGGTCAATTCTATGCATGTCCTGTGTTGTGTTAAATGTAAGGAGAAACCAATCCTTGAACTGGAATTTGCTAATAGCAAAACAGGTAAGATTACTCATGACTGCTACCACACAGTTCGCAGGTGAGAACTTGACACAATCACTCCTCCTAACCTTTGCTAAGTCTCCCTTGCACATGGAGACAAGACATAGATGGGTTAATTCCTAGCTGAATAATGGAAGCCAGAACCTGGTTTACAACTTCATGATGTAAGAGAACTAGGCACCAGCTACAAGAACACCCCTGGAGAATATGCATCATGAAAAAATGTAGGCAAGCGTCCAACCCAGAAATATGCAATCATGCAAGTCACTGTTATGCCATGTTCTAAGAAGCAGCTCCTTTAATGCTCAGTATTATAAAGCAATAGGATCACATCATTGTAGTTTTTATTACAGCATTCAGACAGATGTGACAAAGCTAATCGTTATCCATTCAACATTACATTATAGTGGAAGATAAATCTGTTGCCCTTGAATCCTCTGCAGACCAGTATTTTTATCTGGGGTTACAGGCTACACAAACAGCAGACTTCTCCATCCACATACAAGCATGACTCTGGCAGTCTGCAATTGAAAAGCTTGCTTTATTATTATTGCTCATTATACCATATTTGATTTCTCGTGAAGCCTTGGTATTTGAGGGAGTTCTGTTTTGATATGGCATTTATTGCACTTGACTGTTTCTACACTGTTACAACAAAATATAGGGAATGGTATTAGGGACATGGTGGCGCTGTGGATTAAACCGCAGAAGCCTCTGTGCTGCAAGGTCAGAAGACCAGCAGCTGTAAGATCGAATCTATGTGATGGAGTGAGCTCTTGTCACTTGTCCTGCCAACCTAGCAGTTTGACAGCATACAAAATGCGAGTAGAAAAATAGGTACCAACACAGTGGGAAGGTAATGACATTCTGTGTCTAGTGGGGCTGGTCACGTGACCATGGAAACTGTCTTTAGACAAACGCTGGCTCTATGGCTTGGAGACAGAGATGAGCACCACCCCCTAGAGTTGGACACGACTGGACATTTGTCAAAGACAATCTTCACCTTTACCTTTTATTCTGGCTTCAGAGATGAGAACTTAATTTGCAAATATTTTGTGTCAACTCACATATGCTTAAGTCCTAGTATGGTTGGGATTTGGGGACTGCTGTGAGACAGCTCCTTTTCCTAGCACAATATACTGTACATCCTTCCATATTTATATGAAGAGAAGTCATTTCTCTCTCCTGAAATTGGCTAAGGCTTTGCAATGACTTCTAAGGCTCCTAACTTGCTTTCACACAGAAATCTAATCAAATTTTATTGAAAACCTTTCTTAAAAAAGTGACAATTGGCCATCTCTTTGTCTCCCCTCCTTGTTTTCTGCTTGTGGAAATCTTGACTCTGACATCTCTAATTCCTTTCTCTCATGATTCATTAACTTTTCCCATTCAACTCATCCTAGCTAAAAACACAAATTTTATTCTCATCCTTTTATTGATCTCAAATGTTTCCTGTCTTCTACTTATGGTATTTTTAGCTTCACTTATTTTACTTTGTGGACTGTTGTGACATTTCCTTACTATTGTTCATCTATCTTATTTAATTTTTGCTCTACTTTTCCCTGTTCCTGATGCTCCTATTCTTGTTGATTACAGTGTACTTACTGATGACATTTTTTGATCTGCTCTAACGTTCTCTCTACTTGGTTCTTTTGTTTATTCATCCTTTTCTCTCATACTGCTGGTCACATTTAAACCTTGCTGCTTCTGAACTGTTTTATTTCCATTTTTTATCTCGTTCCTTTCCTTTCTGATCATTACCTTCCTTATTTTAATCTTAGATTTCACTATTTCCTTCACTCCCTGAGGCCAGAGATTCTAAACTGTTCCAAAACCTTTAAATGTGTCACCTCTCAGCATCTTTTCTACCTACTCTTCCTTCATCTTCTCTCTCATCTTGCTGAACTCATTGTGGAAGAGTTTTGTTAATTACTGCCTTACACTTCAGTCTTCTATAGTCCTCTTTCCCTTCCATTTTTTCCAAATTACTACTCCTCAATATTAGTGGTTTTTCTTAAACTATTTTTATTCTTTCATTCCTGAATATCGCTGACATTAATCTCATGATCTGTAAATAAAAGCTTTCATCCCTGTTTATAAGCTTTAGATATCTCAATGCTCCCATTAAATTCAGCTAGGAATTTGCATTTCCAGTACCTACTGATTTCTAATTTTCTTCTATTCCTTCATCAGACTCCGATATTTAGTGTACTGGACTAGAGAGCCCAATTTGTTTGCTTGTTTGTTTGATTTCTATACAGCCAATCTGGAGGCCAAGGCCACTCTGGGCGGTTTACAACTAAACAGTAACAACAACAGAATCACAAAACATAACATCAACAAATTATAAAAGTACAAAACAAAATACAGTTGTCATGAAATAATGAATGAGGAAAAAACCAAATACAGAAAGGATCTAGAATGGAGGACAGGTAAAAACCATGGCTGGTTAACACGCATTCTGGACTCAAAAGAACTGTGCACTACACCCTTTTTTTCCTGCACATTCCACTTAAAAAAAACTATGTACCAAGGGTTCTTGTCTTCAGTTTGACCCTTTCTCAGCCTTTAATATAGCTGATCACCCTATTTTTTTAAGTACTCCTCCCCTACCCCCCAGGGTTTGCATGGACATTCCCCATTTGTGCAATCATTTTATCCCAGAATTAATATGTTGAACTTTTCATTGAAAACTCTGCTCCATTTCTTATTTCTGTTACTGTTCCCCAGGGATCAATTAATGCCCCCCATCATTTAATATTTTTCCTCTTGGCAGGCCAATTTCCTACCCTGACTTATAAGATCATTATTTTACCGACATTTAACGCAGTGCTTTCTTTCAATTCTCTTTCAAACATTTCAGCCTCTTCCAGCTATTTCAGTCTGAATATTGACCTCAAATTTCATTACATCCAACCCACCATCTTCATTTTCTCTCCTTACTGGCAAAATCAAGCCTTCTCAGAAATTTAAGGACCCTGATTGTTTCTTCTTCTTCTTCTTTATATTACTTCTGTAGCTAAGGTCTGTCAATTCTCTTTATTATGTCTAAATTTTAGCCTGTTTTATCTATTTATATTCTACTAACATCTTTATTCACACCCTTATTCTACCTTGAATTGATCATTATAATACTTTGCTCACTGGTTTGTCTACCTCTTCACTTAAACTGATTTCCCATTCGGAACACTTCTGGCATGTTTTCTTTCTTCATACTTAAATCACATTACATCTCTATTGGTTTCTCCTCACTGGCTTTCTCTGTTGTTCCATATTAAAATTTAATTGAGTATCCATTCCCCTGTTTTCTTTTCTGTCTTCCTGATCCATATGTGTGGAATTCTCAGATTGTCCCCTCTTTGTCTTCATTCGATAAATTATTGAAGACAAAACTCTTGGCTTTTGTATTTCATCTTTGCTGATGTCCTGATTTTTCAAATTAAGCACAAAAAAGACTATTACAGATTATCATTCAATGTTAAATAAATAAGAAAATACAGAGAGGAAAATACTTTTAAAATGTAACAGAATGTTCAGGTTTAGAGCTGCTGCATCCAATAGTCAAGAGCCTGTCCAAATTCTGATAGGGGAGAAGGAAGTAGTTCTCTACCCATTAATTTTGTTTCATTTTAGTCCCAGATTAATTTGTGTAAAAGCTAGAAATAAAAATCAGAAGAATTAAGTACCAAAACGAATTCATTTAAATTATCATTGAAATCCACAGCAATCTTATTTCTAAAATTATGCATGATTTCCCACAGTGATGTCCTTGAAAAATTCACAGATCACCAAACAGCAGGCTACTGTACACTTACAACAGATTTGCCTGCAGAACCCTTTTATTACATGCATTGACTACATTTGGGACTATACTGCAAATTATATGCAAGGAATGGATACACAATTTCTATTTCTTCCAAGAAGTCTTTGCCCATATTTGCCGAAATCTATTTTACCAATATAACTTGTGTATACTGGGGTGCTAGAGGTTGCACATGAAAATAATCACTGGCTCATGACAAGACCTTAGATATAACCAAGCATTGAGTAGTATTTCTAGAAGTTTAGCACCTGCATGCCATAGCAGATTCCAAGAACAGGTTTGCCTATTGTAAATATTGCTGGGTCGAACCAGGGAGCATCTTCTGCATAAACAGAATTTGGACCTCCAGATATAATGATGGCTCTGCAAAAGAAAAACAAAAAAACCCCATTTAACAGATGTATGTTTTACTGTAAATTTCCATAAAACAATCACACAAGCAACTGTGAAGGGAGTTCAGCATCCTCAATCTACAAAACAAGCAAGATGTCTCCCATATTGGAATAACAAGTTATCAAGGCTGACATATTTTATCGATGAAAAGAAAACATGATCATCAGCACAGCATTTCAAAAATCAGAACAAGCAAACAACTGTATAACTTGTCTTTCAAATGCATCCCTTCTGAAATCTTCAATTTGTTTCAACATCCAACAACAACTAGAAATTGTGTTAGATTCCGCCATCTGTAACCATTAACCATAATTGTCAACTGGATTTAGAAGCACTCTGGATTCAAGAATCTGGTATTTATTTATTCACTCTAACAAGAACACTATTACATAAAGAGAGACAATGTTTACAGAAAGAAGTAGTAAAAGACCCAGAAGGGATGCTAAAAACAGTATATTGTGCTCTTCAGTGGGGTGGGAAGACACCTCCCAGTAACATACACTAAAAACCAAGAGGCAGAAAAATTAATTCCAGTATTTTCGTAGCTTAACTTCAAGCACAAAAAGAATACCAACCCTTTCAGTTACTGACAATTTGAGATCACTTTAACTTCCATAGGATACTAGAATTTGCAGTTTGCTGAGATACTCTGCTGTAATTAAAAAGTATGGTGAGAAACTCTGATTTATTTTGCTGAAGATTTCTCTGCCAAAGAAATCTAAATCCTTCACCAATTATAGAATCTATGATTGTATAAGATGAAGCCAAGCTCGATTTCCTTCACCAATTATACAATCTATGATTGTATAAGATGAAGCCAAGCTCGATTTCAAGATCCTATAACTGACCGGATAGCTCAGTGGTTTAGGTATCTGGCTATGGAGCCAAAGGCTGGTACTTGATTCCCCACTGTGCCTCCTGTGAATAGAGGCAGAGGTGGCCTTGGGCAAGCTGCACAGTCCCAGTTTTCCCCAGAAGAAAAGAATGGGAAACCACTTCTGAGTACAGTGGTGCCCTGCATAGCGATGTTAATCCGTTCCAGGATTAACGTTGCTATCCGGAAACATCGCTAAACGGAACAAAAAACCCCATAGGAATGCATTAAACCCTGTTTAATGTGTTCCTATGGGGCAAAAACTCACCGTTCAGCGAAGATCCTCCATGGGGCGGCCATTTTTGGTGCCTCTTAAGCGAGGAATCTGTCCAGAAAGCAGCAGGCGGCCATTTTGAAATCACTGATCAGCTGTTAAAAAAGCATTGTTTTGCCCCAATCATGGCAAAGCACCGCCAGCCAGCCAGCCTGGGAGACACCGGGCATCCTTGGGCGGCGGGCAAGCGAGGGCTTGGGAGGAGGGCCGCCAGGAACACCCAGGCCTTGCCCTGCCTCCCAGCTCTCCCCGAGCCACCCCTCACCCCCGTCTCCGCCACCGCCGCTGGGAGGAGGGCCGCCGGAACACCCGGGCCTTGCCCTGCCTCCCGGCTCTCCCCAAGCCAACCCTCATCCCCGTCTCCGCCGGCGGTGGCGGCGGGAGGAGGGCTGCCAGAACACCCAGGCCTTGCCCTGCCTCCCGGCTCTCCCAAAGTCACCCTTCACCCCCGTCTCCACCGCCGCTAAGCTGGGCGAAAATGCCGGCGGGGCCGGGGGCTTCCGAAGGACCAAGGGGAGGGGTCCCCCACGGTCCTTCGGAAGCTCCTGCCGGTCAGCTGGGGGGAAATGGGGGGCTATAGGCAACATCGCAATGCGATCGCAAAAGCGATCGCAAAAAAGCCATTGCTATGCAGATTCGTCATTAAACAGGGCGCCCGTTAAGCGAGGCACCACTGTACTCTCTAACTGGAAAACCCTGAAAATGGTCACCAGACATCAGAATTAACTTGATGGCACATCATCATCATCGTTGTTGTTAAAGCCTTAGATACAAGTCCTACTGTACTACTGTCTTGGAAAAACCTTAAGCTTCTTGATTCAGTGAATGAAGAGTCTATATGATTATGCCAAAACTAAATGTACGGTATTACTATTGTTTCCTTCTAAATAATTATACAAATCAATTCGTCCTATTGACAGAAACAATATAAAATGCTTCCTGGCTGCAGGGAGGGGATACTGCCTGCCTGCTAGACCATTCCAGTTTCTGTACTGTAGGAAACATTCAGCCCACAGTTTTACACTGAAATATTTTTTTTTCTCCAGGATACTATTTCTGCAGGATCAGTATCCAATGGTTTCACTTATTCATGTTTTGAAAATATTAAAAGAAAAATCCCAGAAACATTTTCTTGATATAGTTACCAGAAGTGGCCGGGTGGGCAGAGGCTATGCAATCTACAACAGTTGTTTATTATCTGCAGATTTTTGGCATCCATGGGGAAGCTTGGTACCCATCTCCCACGGATATGGGGATCATACTGCATTTACTTCATTCACTAGCCAGTCAACAAAAATCACAATAAAAACCCAAAATATACAAAAAAGTGTGCAAAGGCAAATTGTGGCATTCGCCCTTGTGGCCCCTGCTTATTTTGCCCTCACAAAGGCTCACAACGTTTTATCTTCTCGCTGCCACCCCTTGTGGCGTTCACCCAGTGCCCCTGTTTAATCTCCCTTAAACATAGGTTCACCTTCTGGATGCGTTTCCACTTTACACGCTGCCACCAGGTATTATTCACTAAGACCAATTATGTATTTCAGACGTGTGCTGCCAAGTATAACAGGTTTATTGAACTTTCTCCCTCTCCAAATCACTATCTATCTTCTGCCTCTCTCTAACTCCTAACTGTCATTTTTTCACTCAACTGTCCCTTTTGACCCCGCCCCTCCTGTCCTATCATTGGCTCCTCCCTTTGGAGCTTTCATGATGGACAGACAGAAGTAATGTCATGTGTTGGCATTTCGCCACACAAATTAAGCCATTTAAGTTAAAACACAGACAATAATATTAAACAGCCAAGCAAGAGCTTTAGTATTCTTACAAATATATATGTAAGAAAACAAACATTTTCATGGGAATTTTAATCATTTCTGAAGGGTGAACTGCACACACACTGTCTGAATGCACACACTTTGAAAACTGACACAGGCTACTAACGTCTGTTATCTTCAATAAAAGAATGCATGGAAAAGAAAACCAGGGAGAAAAAAATACAGAGTATCATTTTTTTCCCGTTCTATGAAACAAGCAGCACCAGATCTTTTCATTTTACCTTTATTAAGCACATTCTATTGTATTTCTTCAGTGGCTCAGGGATTATACTTTTTCAAGTCACAATAAATATGATACATTTTAACCTACAATTTACAAGATACATTCCATCTTGTACACCTTTCAAATAAATATAGGCTGACATTCTACTGGGGTTCACATAAGCTTCCCATAACTTGCCATGGGTCACAAAGTCTGAGGGCAAATCTCAGGGTATCTGTCAAAGGGCCATCATTAGCTGTGTCAAGTTATACACACCTTATGCATGCACTTAAACAGGGATTCTGGATATATTTACAAGTACATGTACATGTATATATTTATGTGCATATAAAAACAATTTGTGCACACGTTTTCTGATGTACATATTTTAAACATTCAATTATAATCCATGAACCCTCACGTTAAAATACTGTATATAGATTAGTCTTAAAGGTGCCAGAAAGTCTTATTTTTCTCTCTCTCCTTTTTTCTTGTTATGCTGAAACAGGCCAAGGTAGTGGAGATGGTCCCAAAATCACTATGTGAAAATCGCCCATAGGGAAAAACGTTATACGAAGCACAATCTGACTCTGAAAAAATAAACGTTAAGCGAAAAAAACGTTAAACAAAGCAAACGTTATGTGAGGCACCACTGTATATAGATTAGTCTTAAAGGTGCCAGAAAGTCTTATTTTTCTCTCTCTCCTTTTTTCTTGTTATGCTGAAGCAGGCCAAGGTAGTGGAGTTGCTGAAAAATATTTTTTAATGTTTTTTCATAAAGCACTTCTTGCAGTTTTCAAAATACATGCCTTTTTAATTGTACATTTTACATACGATTTTCAAAGAAAACCTTTTGGCAAATCCATTGCAAACCCTAGGAAAATATGGATTTTAAGGCTAAATACGTTCTAGTTTGCTTTCAGACTCTGGAAATAAACTTGGTATATTTACACTGAACTACGAAAAGAAATCATTTCTCACCCATGCACATTTTATAAAAACATGGAGAGGAAGCAGAAAGAAAAGCCATTGGGTGAGTTATTCCCTATCCTCCCACTTCATGAACCATTTCACTGTCACTCAAAAGCTTGTTTGTGGTGTTGGCTGGATTCCAGAACTCACTGAGAAACATTAGGTTGCCGATCTGCTGGTGATCTGGTTGAGTTATTAAGTAGTAAGACCACAAAAGTTATCCTACAGATCTTGTTCCTGCCACCATATTTATCATTTCCTTCAACACAGCCTCTCCCTCTTATTTTTCAGACCACTTTACACCCAAGGGCCAAACTGCATTGCAATTGTTGTGGAAAAACAAATGCATTCCTATATTTCAATCCATCCAGCAGGCCTTTTATGGAATTGCCAATCCAGACAGGTTCTAGAATTATATATGTGCAATCTTACAAAAAAATGTACATGAATTCAGCTTCTTCGTAAAATCCTTGTTCTTCTTCTGACTTCTTAAACAGGAGCCAGCACTTTTCAAAGCAAAACACAAAGAAATCAAACCAATCCACCTTACCGGAATCCCTGTTCTTTTATGGCAAAGGCAGGAGTTTCCAGAGGGAAGATCTCAGACTGGACAAAGAGTTCTCTGACTTTACGATCTATAACTTTCCCATACTGAGCTCCAGCATCCAGTATTACTACAGCTCCTTCGTAGTGGCACAGACCATCCTTGAGATCTTCTCCAGTATTTTCCAACTGTGAACATGAACAAAAGCACTTCATTATAAATGGATAATCAATGCAGAACAAGAATGGGGAAGCGGAACATGTTTTTCTAAAGGAGTACGACTTCATAATTATTATACTTGTAGTCTTCTACTACAGAATGTCTTTGGGAATAAAGAAAACACTGTAAACAACAAACAATAAATGAAAAAGAAGTTTGAAAACAAAGATCTTTAACCTCTGTGCACAATAATTGTGTTGTATTCAATAAGGACTGTGTGCCAGTAAGCAGTGAATTAAGGAAAAACGTTCTGTGTTTATGAAGGTTAGCGTAAACTGTTTATTAATGAATACAGATGCAAACCTTTCTGTATCTATCACCTTCCTGAGCTTTAACACTACCCCTCCACAGACCAGACCAGCAAATAAATAAATAAATGGGTGTCTCACCATTTATGAAAGCTATGCCTATTAAGTATGCAGAACAGTTTTGCTTCTTAGCAAAGTAGGATAAATTACCCAAATGCCTCCTTGTCCACAATTAAATCCAGTAAGGCTATCACTACAATACGTGTCACAAATGCAACTCTACAACTCATTGTAACTATTAAAGCAGTGAAGGTAAAACCTATTTCTGCTTAGGTAAAGATTAGTTATCCATAATTTCCAGCTATTATGCAGGAGATGCTTCTTATATCTTAGGAGCGTCACACCGAACGCTCACCGACAACCTACATGCTGCTGCTCTGAAAAGAATCTGGTAATGGAAGGGGTGGCACTGTCATTGGAAGAGATTGGCAGGGTTGGCCGAGAGCAAAACTGCAAATGGTCACTCAACTCTGGTGACAGGAAACAGCTTTCAGACAAGCAGGTTTGGAAGCTTTTATAAATGGGGTGAGAATATATTTAATCACAAGCTCTAGATTTACTACTTTTCTAGTATAGCTGAAGAACAGCTCCTTAGCACAGAAAGTACTTATATGACTACTGTAAATTCTAATCAAGTTCGATTTTAATAAAAAACAATATTTACTTTTTCATAATTGTAATAAACTTGAATACAGACAAACTACATTAAAATCCACAGCTTTATGCATGTCATAAATTCAACTAAACATCAGTTTGTACTTTGGATGTTCACAGAGAAGGCGGACTAAACATAGAGCGATCCATTACTGAAACATTTGCTACACAATATAATGAGAAAAATAGCTCAATGGTAGCACTTCATGTTACAGGTCCTGGGTTCAACGGCTACCATTTTTAAGCATGATTTTTTTTGGGGGGGGGAACTTTGCCTGAAACCCCGGGAGCTGCTGTCAGTCAGTGTTGACTATATTGGTCCCACATCTCTAACTTTGTAACAGGGTGAGGTGGAGTGGGAGAGAGACAACTCTAAGGTGAAATAAACAAAGAGAGGTAACTGTAGTAATACCTTGGGATTTAGGATTAACATTTTGTGTACTGTTTGCATTTAACAACTTTTAAAAAGTAAGATATTAATGAATCTTCTACCACAAATTGAGCTTTGTAGGAGAACACAATGAGGCAGGGGAATGTATTTTTCCTACCTGTTCAGGGGATCATTTTTTTAAGCATTACTTTCCATTCTATAGTACAACAAATGATTCTAAAAACAGACTGATACAAACCTAAAGCTAACGTTGAAACTGCTGGTGACACAGCATTAAATGATGTATCATAATTTTTTTCTCTGCCCCACTCCCTTTCAGCTGATGGTACATTTCCCCCTAATAGAAGCAGCTGCTGGTACATTATGTCTAGAGGACCTCATGTTCATTATTATTTAAAGGAAAATAAACCCACACTTCTATAGGCAATCTTGCTTTCTTGCCCATCCTCATGCTCAAACCAATCTGTGCCAATTTTTCTGAGAGTGCTGTTTTCCACACTTCAAAAAACCCAACATCCACCTACTCTATGACTGCAGCTGCCTTCCAACATCTTGCAATTTCCTGCCTGGTAATTTATTATTGATTGATCACAATAATTTACACCTCACCTTTCTACTAGTAAATAACACAGAGGTGACCAAATGTTTTAGAAACAAAACAATCATAAATAATTAGAACAATTACAAATCAAACATGGAAACAATAGATCAGATCATTGAAACTTCAGAGTCTGATAGAAATAGAAAGTGTACCAGATACTTACTTCTATCTTTCCTGGGTAGCAAAACATACAAATAGAGGACTGGGGGGGGGGGGATACATTAACTTCCTGAAGAATTACAAAGCTAGCGTACAACCATTTAAAAAGGGCCTACTGAACAGCCTCAAATTTGCATCCATCCCTGCCTGGAATAAAACAGATTATCCATCAATTCTCAGGGTATGCAGAGAAAGACAGTGAAGGAAGCTTTACTTAAAGCATCCTGGACCAGTTGGGGCATTATAAACAATAACCAGCAATCTGAATTGTGCCCAATAATATATCAGTAGCCAGTCCACGTGTTCTAGAATGGGTGCATTCACATTCCTTGGAGCATCCAAACTGTTACATTTTGGACCAACTGAAACTCTGAATACAGCTGCAGGCATCAATGTTGGCTTATTCTGCTTTAACCCAATGTTGATGCAATATAGCTGTGTATCATTGTGGCTTGGTTTAAGAGACATAATGCCATAAAAGGCTAAAGTCCCCCACATGCCTTTCAGGCACTGTCCGAGCACTTAATAACCAAACTAGTTCAAGGAAGACCCCCTTATTGTCAGCCTTGTCTTTCCAATAGATATGCTGAAACTCTACACCAGAAGAAGCCATCCATCCCCAAACACATACTCCTTTATCTTGTCTGGATTAAGCTTCAATCTGCTATCTTACTGCTTAAGCCTCAGTATGTTAGCCCATTACTGTCTCCAAGACATCAACAGCTTTCCTGGAATCAAATGGAAAAGACAGGAAATATTGCATGCCACCTGCATACTGATGGCAATGCATCCTAAATCTCTGGACAACCTGCCTTAGCAGTTTCAGGGAGATGAAAAACAACACAGAAGGTAAGAAAGATCCTTGCAGAATACCACAAGCCAAGAAGTAAAATGTCCTAAAGTCATCTGCCAAGAACAAAATTTCAAACTGAATTTGGTAATACATGATGCTGCCTGATCTGATTTTAACCACTGGCTAGGATGGAGAGTTTTGTTTTTAACATAGTTATATGTTGCATGTTGTCTTAAATGTTATATGGTTTTTTACTCTTTTATGCTACCTGGAAATGCTCAACATAATAAGCAGTATACAATTATTGCATAAATATAAACAAACAGTAAACTGGTACCTTAGCCCAAAAAAAGTCTACAGAAATTTAAACTGATAAAACTATAAAGGCTATCCCCTCTTTGATATTTATAGTTGCTGATTATTATGGGTGCTATATAATTTTATTGATTGCCTTTTTATTTTAGCATTTCACTATAGAAATTTACACTATAGACTGTAAGCTAATTAAATAGTAAATGAATGATGGAAAAACAGAAATGAATACTGCAACAGGTTAGGAGATTCAATGTCCCACATGTGGCTCCCTAATTTCAGATACTAATATGCATGCACTTCCCTAAGTCAACCTCCCTAACTTGTTAGTCATGCGGGTGATTATGTCATCATCATCACTGCCACCATTACTATTACTACTATTTTTAATATGACTAGTTAATCAATTTTCTGACCACCAGATTCCCAAAGAAATGAACAATAAAAACCACCATTATCACTCTGAACACACCCAATCTCATTTGATTTGGAATACTAAGCACGGGCCAGACCTGCACGGGAAACGACCAGTGAATACCAACTATTTCCAAGGAGATGTAGGAGAAAATTCTGCCTGAAGCCCTGGAGAGTTACTGCTAGTCAGAGAGGGCACTACTCTGGGTTAGAAATACTAATAGACTTAATTCAATATAATACAGCTTCCCACATTCACAAAACAAATTAAAAACATTATTTTAAATCTAATTTAAATCAGTTTTAAAACTTTAATGGTATATGGAATAAGACAGTTTTGGCTGCACACTGAAAGCTCAATGCAGACGGAGCTACTTGGACTTGCCCTGGCACTGCGTTCCACAACTGAGGCGCTCCTACAGAGAAAGCCCTAGCTTATGTACTTATCAGACTAGCCTCCTGGGATAGTGGGACAGAGTTTGCTGTAGATCTCAAATTCTGGACAGGTTAATATAGGGGGAAGTCGTCTTTCTGCCGTATGAGCATTTGCCCAACACATCTGAAGGGCATCAGTTTGTGGAAGTCTGCCCTAAGCAATATGCTTACCCTCAGCCCTAGGCCATGCATGGCAAATCTTTACTTTAGGACATCAGAGAAGGTAAACAAATGGCAGTCTAAATGGGCCAATACAAATACTGAAGATCAAGGCCAGTGTGAGATCAAGAAAATGTTTAGACAAAGGCTGCAAAAGGAAGCTTCAATGGCAACTGAAGTGTGATCAAATCAGTTTTCAACTAGACAGGAAGTACACATTGCTAACATTTTACAAAAAACTTAGTGGAAGAGAAAGAGGAAAACATAAGTACACATTGCTAACATTTTACAAAAAAACTTAGTGGAAGAGAACGAGGAAGTGAAGCAGAAGGATACTCCTTATCTCTTAGCCATGTTTATGAGGGTGGGAAAGCTGTTTCAGTATCAGCTGTCCTCCAGCAGGCACACATCAATTGTGTTGGACTACAAGCCCTATGGTTCCAAACCAGCAGGTCTATTAGACATGCTAGCATGGGATGATGCCAACAATAACACATTCGGAGGGACTGAAACAGTAGAAGGCAGCTCTATACCTTGCTTTCAAACTGCTAGGTTGGCAAGGAGCTGGGACAAAGCGATGGGAGCTCACTCCGTCGTGTGGATTCGATCTTACAACTGCTGGTCTTCTGACTCTGCAGCAATGAGGCTTCTGCGGTTTAGCCCGCAGCCCCACCATGTCCCTTTATACCAAATCACACAATAACAAATTGAGGGTTCATGATCTAACAACATTTCACCCCTAA